ATTCACAATTTTGTCAAACTGTTAAAAGTTGCTAAAGCGCTCGGGTACAATTAAAATAAGAGATATCAAATCTACAGTTTGACTGCCTCGACGTTCAAATCACAGTAGGCTCAAAATAGGGAATAGCATTGGGCTGATGCTCACACATATCTACAACAAAACATTTCCAAAGCTTTTGCTGAGGCAATATTCTAGCGATATGACGGCGGACTGTAAATAATCGAGTCTGGACCAGACAATCCAGTGACTGACATCATGTGCATCGATCCACGCAATTGATAAGCGATGACATGCATCAACCAAGTCAGAGCCAGACCATCCGATCCCGTTAGTCGCCTCTTAAGACAAGCATAGACGCCCCTTACAACAAGCATGGGTTGCTGAAGACCTATTGTAACCCGGATGTGAACAGATCAGGCTATAAATACAATGTGGGAAGTAACACAAAGGTCATCTAGGCGTTGATGAGTGCTGCAAACTCGACAACAATGGACGTGTCCAATATCAAGACATGTCACGGGAAATGACAAAGGTGAAGGTCATGAGAACTCAATATCTCGTATGTCATTCATTAACACCAGCGCTGCCTGGCGCCACCTGCCCCTGACGAAGTGAGAGTACGATCACACGATGGGGAATATTAGCCCATTCAGCCTGTCGTACATATGCAAGTTGTTATTGTGTCTATGGTTCAGGGTGACATTGATGTACCTAGCGATCCAAGTCCAATAGATTTGAACCAGCAGACTGTTTTTTTCTGGTATGCCAGGGGACGCAACTCTGCACAGCTAATTGCGTTGTCTAAAGTGTCCGGTCCTACCGTGTCCCCTCCTCGATTGAAAAGTTGATGGAGACCGGGTTTAAATAATGTAGAGTTTGTTTCTTGATGTCAAAACATGTTTTGTTTATAAAACACGACACCCGCAATAACGATACATGAAATAAATTCTAAAGCAGCAAAGAAAGATTTGTTGTTACTTTGAGAGTGAGTGTGAGTTGGGTTTAACGCCGCTTTTAACAGTATTCCAGTTATATCACGGCGTGTCAGCTTAATGTTGGAGGAAAGCCCGAGGTGATGCAGGTCTCAGACGTTTACCAATTCGGTGAAACCCACGACCACGGGTATGGTGTTGACAAACCTAGAAACATAATCGGGACGAACCGGGATTCGAACCCACAATTATAGGTTTCTGGCGTGCACAAGGGACGCAACTCTGCACAGCGAATCGCGGCGCCTTAGACGACTGGACCACCCGTGCCCCCTGTAACTTTGAGAAAAGCAACCCACATTATCATTGATTTCGCGTATTGTAAAACTCTTTTAGATGGGCCGACATTGCGACAAGACATATTTGACCTTGAAAAATTTCGCGTTGTCGATTGGGTAAAAGTAAAAAATAGAATTCAAAGCGCGAGAATGAGACATATTGTCAAAATGTCGCAGTGTCGCGTTTTGCTTAAATGTGAGACTTTTTGCGACAACGCGACATTGTCCCTTCTTTGATTTCATATGTAAGCTATATAAGTCATTGCTGTTTAGATGACGAACCACGTGTGGCTCTTGAAACTCCGCACATTGAAAACCCTGACCGAGGACCTGTTGATGAACACATCGACTTTGCCTGCAGTTCTGTTCTCGGTAACCTACATTGTATTTTAGGTCATGCAATTTTGTCAAAACATAAAACGCCTAAGGTCCGGACTCCGCGGCTTTAAGTGCCTCATAAATTTATATTTCGAAGCAAAAATCTGACCTTGGTCGCTATGGAACGCAACTCTGCACGGCAACTGTTTGCGGTCTTCACCTCAATACGGGTCGCGTTATAAACTACCATATACAAGATTTTACAGGAACTTCGTTCGATAAAAATGGTCGCTCAGCGCAAAGACTTATACGCCTTTACTCAGAGTAAGTCCTCACAAAATCTGACACGAACGTCGAACAAGAGGTAGGTGAGATTCAGCTAGATTCGGTTGACTAAAAAAGACAACAGTAGACATTGTGATGATGTTGATTCAACTTTCACCCAAACCTTCTGAAACCTGAAAGATGATATGAATACGTTTTGGGCTTAAGAATTTATTTATCTATGTGAAAACATTTAAACAAAATATAAGGACACGGGGCGATATAAAATGTATTTGGCATTCATAATGTAGTATGATCGAATCGAATCAATCTTGCCATTTGCCTCTGGTCCATTCGTTTTAAGGATCTGGGAGTTACTCAGACATTCCCCTCTACATAATGCAGGGATAGAGAGAATGGCCTTCTAACAGCGTATCCATGTGGGAAATGGAACTCGGAGCTTGTTATCGGAATATGTTATCAATGTTTAATGAATAAGGGTCACCGGGGTACAATAGTCTTCAGGAACCCATGCTTGCCGTAAAAGGCGACTATGCTTGTCGTAAGAGGCGACTATGCTTGTCGTAAGAGGCGACTATGCTTGTCGTAAGAGGCGACTATGCTTGTCGTAAGAGGCGACTAACGGGATTGGGTGTCAGGCTCGCTGACTTGTTGATGCATGTCATAGTATCCCAAATGCATGGATATCAGTCACTGGATTGTCTGGTCCAGACTTGATTATTTACAGACCGCCGTCATATAGCTGGAACATTGCTGAGTGCGGCGTCAAACAACAAACAAAAAGGAGAAATAAGGGTCACCAAGTCGAACGATTGTCAGTTTCATTAAAAACTGAGGTTATCTCCCATTAGTCAGCCAGCTGGAATTGGATAGTGTTTATTTGGGGGCTCTACTCGATATAATAAGGAGTACTTTGATCAGGTCTTTGATTCTCGTTTCTTCCGCCAAAGTTGAAGGTGAGCTGAAATGGGGTTTAACTTTGTGTGTGGTACCTCAAATGGGGTTTAACGTTGTGTGTGGCACCTCTTATGGGGTTTAACGTTGTGTGTGGCACCTCTAATGAGGTTTAACGTTGTGTGTGGCACCTCAAATGGGGTTTAACGTTGTGTGTGGCACCTCTTATGGGGTTTAACGTTGTGTGTGGCACCTCTTATGGGGTTTAACGTTGTGTGTGGCACCTCAAATGGGGTTTAACGTTGTGTGTGGCACCTCTAATGAGGTTTAACGTTGTGTGTGGCACCTCTAAAGGGGTTTAACGTTGTGTGTGGCACCTCTAATGAGGTTTAACGTTGTGTGTGGCACCTCTAATGAGGTTTAACGTTGTGTGTGGCACCTCAAATGGGGTTTAACGTTGTGTGTGGCACCTCTAATGAGGTTTAACGTTGTGTGTGGCACCTCAAATGGGGTTTAACGTTGTGTGTGGCACCTCAAATGGGGTTTAACGTTGTGTGTGGCACCTCTTATGGGGTTTAACGTTGTGTGTGGCACCTCAAATGGGGTTTTTACGTTGTGTGTGGCACCTCAAATGGGGTTAAACGTTGTGTGTGGCACCTCAAATGGGGTTTAACGTTGTGTGTGGCACCTCTAAAGGGGTTTAACGTTGTGTGTGGCACCTCTAATGGGGTTTAACGTTGTGTGTGGCACCTCTAATGGGGTTTAACGTTGTGTGTGGCACCTCTAATGAGGTTTAACGTTGTGTGTGGCACCTCAAATGGGGTTTAACGTTGTGTGGCACCTCTTATGGGGTTTAACGTTGTGTGGCACCTCAAATGGGGTTTAACGTTGTGTGTGGCACCTCTAATGGGGTTTAACGTTGTGTGTGGCACCTCTAATGAGGTTTAACGTTGTGTTAGCTACCTCAAATGGGGTTTAACGTTGTGTGTGGCACCTCAAATGGGGTTTAACGTTGTGTGTGGCACCTCTAATGACATTGAGTGGCACCTCTAATAGGGTTTAATGGATCTTTCTCTACAAAACTGACGTGTTGAGTTTGATCTAACATAAACTCCTTGGTTTACATTGTCTTCCTTAGACACACCACTACATTTTACATATAGTGACTTTATTTATTAAGTTCACATAACACGTCATTTTTAAATAAAGTGAACTTATAAATACTACTCAAAAAAAGGGAAGGACCACCCAATTCTTTCCTATTATAAACTGTCATGGCAGGACAGAGTAAGTGGAGTAATTTCTGATGTTTTTATATGGGTGATTCCATTACCAACAGGGGGTAATGGGTAGTGGTGTCAAAGTGCTATCAACCAGACATGTTGCTGTTATAGGTGAGGTGAAATGGGGTTTAACATAGCATCCAAGATTATCAGACACAGTATACGGACTCTGAACCGACCAGTCCTTGTTTTAGTCCCTTAATGGCGAGAGCTGGACAGGGTAACAACAAGTACCATCTTTTAACATCTGTTGGTATGACGCGGTCGGAGATCGAACTCCGGACCTTCCGCCCTCCGGGCGGACACTCTACCACTAGGCCACGGAGGCAGTCAAACACCTCAAGCCCCATACCAGGGGCATCCCACTTTGTATCCATGCTGAAAATCCAACCCCATCTTTAACCACTATGGGAGGAAATATTTCACATATTTGATGGGAAGAGACAGGCTGGGATACTCTTGAAAAACAATTTGTTCCAGAAAATAATGGTTAAAATATGATTATAATCTATTTATGCAGCACAGAGTCCAGCTACCTGTTCACAGGCACTGTACGTTATGAATACCCTGGATCAATGCTTCATTCTCAGCTCTCAGGGGAGTATACAACCCAAACTGCCCAGATACACTACAAGGTTAACAGTCACATTATCGTCTCATCCCACCAGGTACCCAGTCACTGCTGGATAAAGAGTTGCATATTTTGAACAAAGTCACTAGGCCAAGAAAACACCACACATGTTACATGTGTTTCAGGGTGGGGCAGGACAGAAGCCCTAGAAACTCTCAGGAGTCAATCTGCCGAACACAGTCACCCATTCAACTCTCTGCAAGCAGCGTTGCTTAACTTCCCTGTCTACTCCTGTCATGCTGGTCAGGTCGGGGCAAGGTGGGCCAGTGATCTCTGCTGGTCTGTACAGACCATATTTCAATCATTGAACACAATGCTTGTGACAAGACAATAATGTTTATTTACAGATGACTATATACAAGTTGTGAGTCAGTGCAAACACCGGCTTCATCCTTCACATCATGCCATGGACAGAGCCCGTTTACCGAAATTAGTGTAATCTATTGATGTTGATAATTGCAACATCATTATTAACATACACAACCTTCAAAATTCCTTTTTAAATTATCATTTTGCAAAAGACTCGTGACATATTTCATATAGCAGAAATTCAGATGACATAGCCTTGACCTTGCTGATGAGATGACCTTTCTTGACCTACTTTCATGCATCATCGACTATTTCCTGCACGTCATCATCATCTCCTTCCTCTGGTTCCTCCTCCTCTTCTCCCCCTTCCTCTCCCTCCTCCTCTTCCTCTTCATCATCACCGTTGATGGTGATGACTTCCGCACCATCTTCCTCCATTGTTGTGTCTCCATTCTTATCTTCCTCCAATGATGCATTCTGTTCTCTTTCCTTCTTCCTTCGTTCTGATGCTTCCTTCTTTCCTTTCTGTTCATTCCTGAATGCTGAACAATGAAAAAAACCTCTGTAGCATAATCTTCATTGGAAGAGACAAATGTGTATTTGACACCTGACTGTAATAATCTTTCTCTATAGCATGTTTTTCTGTATGATCTGATCAAACAATTGTCATCAGAAATTGACAAATCCCCTCGGCCCCCACAAGTTCAAAAGAATAAATTATCTGACCGTCACTTCAAGTCCAACTTGATGAGAGAATTTTCTATCTAATCTGTCTGTACACAAGAGTAGTTATTGAGCTATCAAAACCATACCGGATTCGGAACTTTGTATTTCTATGTCAGGTACATAACAATATGAACAGAGTCAAAGTCAAACTTCTTGCCAAAGAAATAATCTCTAAAACTCCGTAAATAGCAAAAGGCACCAGTTGTAGGCCAGATCTTGGTGTGTGAAGAGTTTCATGTAAGAATATCAATTAGTTTTAGAGATAAGATCCGGAGCAAAGAATGATTACGGACGACAGACAAGCGGACCACTACCAGGTATATTCCCCCATATTACATACCGGTGGGATCCGTGAAGATCCGGGGTAGAATAGGTCTTCACCAACCCATGCTTGCCGTAAAAGGCGACTATGCTTGTCGTAAAAGGCGACTAACGGGATTGGGTGGTCAGGCTCGCTGACTTGGTTGATGCATGTCATCGATCCCAATTGTGTGGATTGATGCTCATGATATCAATCACTGGATTGTCTGGTCCAGACTCGATTATTTACAGACCGCCGCCATAAAGCTGGAATATTGCTGGGTGCGGCGTAAAACAACAAACCAACCAACATACTGGTGGGGGGGGGGGGGGGGAACTGGAAGTTTACAAAACATATTGAGAACCACAAAGTGTGTTGAATACAGTAACATCCCTTTCTAACACCCCACTCATTCACTGAAAAGCTCTACAAATAATTATCACAGTATTAAGTGTACACAAATTGTCCAAACTTTGCTCAGTTTCACAGAGAACATATTTTAACATCCTTGTATAAATCAATCTCACAAACTCAGAACTTTACTCCGATATGATACAACTCTGCTATCCCTCTGCACGGAGACGTGATGACACCAACTCTGAGCTAACTTTGAGCACCCAATCAAAAGGAAGCATGCATGGGTTCTTGATCTAACAACTTGTCCAACAAGCCTTCTTAAATGTCTCAGCTTCATTTCTTTACCATCATAGTACAGAAATTTTGATTTTAACACAGAAACCCCACACAGAGCACAAATATTCCTTTAATGGTTCTCCCCTTGGGGTGGAGATGCCATGACACACAGAAACAACAGCATGAAGAAAATATTCACAATACAATGGCATTGTATTTATCATTTACATTCGGAACTGGCCAGTTCATTTTGTTTTTAAGATACAGAAATCGAAAATGCTGGTCAAAATGCTTCTCTCATTCGTACCAAGAATTTAGACGCCTTGATGCTGATTGGCTGATTGGGAAGGTCACCTGATATGACCTTCCATGGAGGTGTTGTCAAATCTTCACACAGAGAGCCATTTTATTGGAGTGAAAGAACTTTTCTTAATCCCATCAATGAGAGAGGATGGACTGGAATTGCACTACCAAAGGGCACTACAAGAGACAAACCATCGAGACACTGCTGCAGGGGGCTGACAAACTGCTCAAACTCCATCTCCTCCATGGCGTCCACCACGTCCTGGGCCGAGATCGTCTTCCGCTTCGCCTTCATTGAGAAGTTATTGGAACTGTTGAAGGAAAAGAGGGTATTGGTGTCGACAGGGCCACTTCCACATATACTACTCAAAAGAAGTAAAGGAATACCCAATTCATTTATACTACCGTAGTTATCTGTGATTTTTTAGTAGTGTGTGCGTGCGTGAGTGCGTGTAACCCTGGCATTAAAACAGCCATACTCCCACAGGACCCACAATGTACTATATTTACATTCATTCTCAAATTATATGTATATAAAACGCAAGAACCTAACCATAACATATAAAACTAGAAAGTGTTTTTACTCGTAAAAACATATGTCTCCCCCCACTCGTCTAACCCCCATTCATTCGTTTACTTCACGTTAAACCCCATCTCTTCATTCCCACCCTCCATTACTAAATAACAGAGACAAAAATAGAACTCCTAGAAATTTCAAACAACTAATGGGCACCAATTCAGTGCTGGGTTAATGTGTATACAAAGTTTCGCGAAAAAATATTAAAAGGTTTCCGAGTTATGGTCCGGAAACCAAGCTTACCCCCATTCAGAGTCTATGTTCAAGTTATCTCCATGGAAACGAGAAAAAATAAAAATGTCAAAAATCTCTGAATAGCAAAAGGCACCACTTCAGTGCTGGGTTAATGTGTATACAAAGTTTCGCGAAAAAATATTAAACAGTTTCCGAGTTATGGTCCGGAAACAAAGCTTACCCCCATTCAGAGTCTATGTTCAAGTTATCTCCATGGAAACGAGAAAAAATAAAAATGTCAAAAATCTCTAAATAGCAAAAGGCACCACTTCAGTGCTGGGTTAATGTGTATACAAACTTTCGCGAAAAAATATTAAACGGTTTCTGAGTTATGGTCCGAAAAACCAAGCTTACCCCCATTCAGAGTCTATGTTCAAGTTATCTCCATGGAAACGAGAAAAAATAAAAATGTCAAAAATCTCTAAATAGCAAAAGGCACCACTTCAGTGCTGGGTTAATGTGTATACAAAGTTTCGCGAAAAAATATTAAAAGGTTTCCGAGTTATGGTCCGGAAACCAAGCTTACCCCCATTCAGAGTCTATGTTCAAGTTATCTCCATGGAAACGAGAAAAAATAAAAATGTCAAAAATCTCTGAATAGCAAAAGGCACCACTTCAGTGCTGGGTTAATGTGTATACAAAGTTTCGCGAAAAAATATTAAACAGTTTCCGAGTTATGGTCCGGAAACAAAGCTTACCCCCATTCAGAGTCTATGTTCAAGTTATCTCCATGGAAACGAGAAAAAATAAAAATGTCAAAAATCTCTAAATAGCAAAAGGCACCACTTCAGTGCTGGGTTAATGTGTATACAAACTTTCGCGAAAAAATATTAAACGGTTTCTGAGTTATGGTCCGAAAAACCAAGCTTACCCCCATTCAGAGTCTATGTTCAAGTTATCTCCATGGAAACGAGAAAAAATAAAAATGTCAAAAATCTCTAAATAGCAAAAGGCACCACTTCAGTGCTGGGTTAATGTGTATACAAACTTTCGCGAAAAAATATTAAATGGTTTCTGAGTTATGGTCCGGAAACAAAGCTTACCCCCATTCAGAGTCTATGTTCAAGTTATCTCCATGGAAACGAGAAAAAATAAAAATGTCAAAAATCTCTAAATAGCAAAAGGCACCACTTCAGTGCTGGGTTAATGTGTATACAAAGTTTCGCGAAAAAATATTAAACGGTTTCCGAGTTATGGTCAGGAAACAAAGCTTACCCCCATTCAGAGCCTATTTTATCTCCATGGAAACGAGAAAAAATAAAAATGTCAAAAATCTCTAAATAGCAAAAGGCACCACTTCAGTGCTGGGTTAATGTGTATACAAAGTTTCGCGAAAAAATATTAAAAGGTTTCCGAGTTATGGTCCGGAAACCAAGCTTACCCCCATTCAGAGTCTATGTTCAAGTTATCTCCATCATGTCCATGGAAACGAGAAAAAATAAAAATGTCAAAAATCTCTAAATAGCAAAAGGCACCACTTCAGTGCTGGGTTAATGTGTATACAAAGTTTTGTGAAAAAATATTAAACGGTTTCTGAGTTATGGTCCGGAAACGGTGGGAACGCCGACGCCGACGCCGACGCCGGGAACCGTGCCAAAAACAATATGTCTCCCTCCATTCTGGGGGAGACATAATGACCGGTATTATCTCCCTATAATAATGATAACCCATATTTTATACTGCATCTTCCCGAGGCAAGGGAGTTAACTGACTGTAAAAGTCAAGTTTCCATCCTTGCCGATCTAGGCTGGTATTATAGAGTTCAATTTTGGCTGAACTAATGAGTCCATGCATAGTCCAATCAAAATCGCGTAACGAAGTCGACATCCGGTTTGTAAACTGCCATGCGGATCTATGTCGCCTGCAGGTTTTGCAAAGCATGTACACCACTCAATTACATGTCGATATATATACATGTATTCCAAAGTTTTCATGTTTTAATCAAGGTGCTCACATGATTGATGCACCTTGATAAAGATCTTGATTATCTTGACTGGGCGCTGCCAAATTGTTTGAAGCAAATGCAATTGATATGAGGGGTGGAATCTGATTGGACAATAGGAGGGACATAGAAGTGACATAACTCGTAATAGCCACTGGTGGCGTTACGACCGAGCCCAGAAAGTTCAGTCTAGTTCGGAAATTGAACTTTCAGTCAACTCCCTTGCCTTGGGAAGATGTTTATACCCTGACCATAACATATAAAATGACAGTTATCTCAGTATTATCTCCCTGTATAATCTTCAATCTATAATTTTCCTATCCTAACACTCTCCATAACAAGAATACATGATCCAGCACAATACAACTCTGGGAAATGTTGAACATAAATTTATCAAATGCCACAGCCATCAATCAAGTAAAGAGAACTGCTTCCCTCATTAAAAGAATAAAGACAAAGTAAATACAAAATTAAAAAATCAACATAAAACCCTTTAACATGTTAAAATGATTTCTAACTAAATTATACAATATTTCTCAAAACAATAAACAAGAGGAAACCTCAATGTGCCTCCCACCATTACAGTGATCCCAACACACAAGCCTGGGGTGGTACTGGGAACAAATGAGTCGACTGCTTCTACAAAATTCTGTTTCATGCTGTATCTGTTCATCACAACCGCAATAAATCTCTAGTCCAAGTTCCAATAAGCAACACGTATCAACTTTGTGCATTAATTCACTGCAGCAGAGTTCAGTACTGTGATGTCGCATTCAGTGAAAAAAGAGCTGTCACAAATACAGCTGAAGGGCTACATTGGGTAATTAGAAATCATCATCATCATCATCCCAGTATTGTTAATATTCGTGTCATCATCATCATCATCATCATCATCATCCCAGTATTGTTAATATTCGTGTCATCATCATCATCATCATCATCATCATCCCAGTATTGTTAATATTTGTGTCATCATCATCATCATCATCATCATCATCATCCCAGTATTGTTTGTACTCATATCATCATCATCATCATCCCAGTATTGTTAATATTTGTGTCATCATCATCATCATCATCATCATCATCATCCCAGTATTGTTAATATTTGTGTCATCATCATCATCATCATCATCATCATCATCCCAGTATTGTTAATATTCGTGTCATCATCATCATCATCATCCCAGTATTGTTTGTACTCATGTCATCATCATCATCATCATCATCATCATCATCCCAGTATTGTTTGTACTCATGCCATGGGCATACATAAATTTGTTGCGCTTCACCATGTTCACTATAGATAAATAATTCATTTAGATGATTTAAGCCTGTTAAAAGAAAAATGTTAAACTATACCTAACCTACCTACTCTAGTTTCATGAGTTTAGGAAACACATTTAGGGCCTTATCATGCTTATCGTGAGCTGTTTTTTGTTGTACGTACCATGACGTGGCATAGAGCACAAACACGCTGGCAGCCTTGGAGATGGCCAGCCTCGCCTCCTTGCCTACGTTCACGCCATCAGGGATCTGGCACAAGAAAACAGAAGGTGCAAACATGAAGCTTATAAATGGTAAGCAGTACTCCAAATAATGATTCAACAAGACTATACATACTCCTCTCAAATTATAAATCTGCAGCAGAGTACTGATACCAGAGTGAGTGAGTGAGTGAGTGAGTGAGTGAGTGAGTGAGTGAGAGTGAGTGAGTGAGTAAAAGGCGACTATGCTTGTCGTAAAAGGGACTAACGGGATCGGGTGGTCAGACTTGCTGACTTGGTTGATACAGGTCATCGATCCCAAATGCGTGGATCGATGCTCATGATGTCAATCACTTGATTGTCTGGTCCAGACTCGATTATTTTACAGACCGCCATCAAATAGCTGGAATACTGCTGAGTGCGGCGTTAAACAACAAACAAACAAACAAACAAATATAATATCCCAGGGATTTTATTAATACTACTTCTGTTTAAATTGTAACATATGAATGTTTCTCGTTAGAAATATACTTTGCATTTGAAGTTGAACATAATGGGGTAATGAAATGTAAAATCAAATGACAAATGTTTTTTTTATATATTCCGAAGGATCGAACACCTTCGTATCTGTAGCCCAGTGATGAACCACTAGGCTACAGAGGCGCTGATAAACCCCACTTCCCCCTGGGTCTTTATAATATTTATAACCCTTATCTTTGAGATGAAACCTTGGGCTGACCCCTATGTATTATCCCATAGATGCAGGTTTTAAAAATCATAAAAACCCTCGGACGTGCTTTTATGCAGTAAAGATGAATAAACAATAAATAAAACACTTAGTCCTTGCTGCACATGTCATCTCACGACTTACTGCGCAACACTGTCAGCTAGCCTAATCATACACACAGCCACCAACATAGTTGACAAACGTTTGTTTGTTTATTGCTGCACTCAGTAATATTCTAGCTATATAACGGCAGACTGTAAATAATCGAGTGTGGACCATACAATCCACAGACTGACATCATGAACATCCATGCAATTGGGATACGATGACATACATCAACCAAGTCAGCAAGCCTAAACCATCCGATCTCATTAGTTGCTTCTTACAACAAGCATTGTCGCCTTTACCGGCAAGAATGGGTTGCTGAAGACCTATTCTAACCCTGATCTTCATAGGTATAGAAGAATGAATTTTTAATAAATATTATGTTATTGAAGTTAATGTTAATGTTTGTGTATTATCGTTGATTTAATGATTATCTAATCAAACATTAAATTTTGTCAAACAAACAATCAAACCAATCATATGATCGATCAGACACTTACTGCATCTTTGATGATTCTTGTTACGACTGCATTGGGGAGATTGAGGTCCTCTGGACGTTCAGCCATCTTTCGTCCTGGTATTTAATCGCTGAAATCACAGGTCACAATTTACTAAAAGCTGTGTATCCAGTGTTCAGTGCATGTAGGTCGACTGGCACAACAAGCCTGCATGTCCCACATAGAGGGGAGTGAGTGAGTGAGTTGGTTTAACGCCGCTTTTAACAGTATTCCAGTTATATCACAGCGTGTCAGCTTAATGTGGGAGGAAAGCCCGAAGTGATACAGGTCTCTGACGTTTAACACTTCGATGAAACCCCCGAGCACGGGTATGGTGCTGAAAAACCTAGAAACGTAATCGGGGTGAACCAGGATTTGAACCCACAATCAGGTTTCTGGCGTGCCCAAGAGACGCAACTCTGCACAGCGAATCGCAGCACCTTAGACAACTGGGCCACCCGTGCCCCCCAGATGGGCGGTGACCATGGTGGTGCTGGGTGTTTGGGTGGATTGTTTTTTTTCAAAAGCCGGAAACCTTTGCTTAGGGAACATTTCCACTTCGGATTGCAGGAAGAATGAGAAATGCATATTGTGAGGTTTTTATTTGTTATAATTTTTTTCTGAATTGTTCAAAATTCTTATCAATGCCTTTTTTTCAATGTCAGGGGTATTTTAACATAATTTTTGTACATTACTTTCCATGCAACAATGTATCATCTAAGATTTGAAGCTTCTACCTCTGAAATACAAGCTGCTTCTACCAAGCTATTACATTAGTTGAAACTAAAACATGGATTGGGAATTATTTATACGCAATTCGAGAATTTGTACTGACATTTGCTGCAGGTCTAGATAAATCCCCGTCTGAATAACCATTATCACTATCAAATAAATTCCAAATTATTTGAAACAAATGTCCAATCCCATTGCTTTCAGTGTCAGTCTACTTCAATACTAGGGGTGATTTTTCGTCTGGAAATCACTATTGCGATAACTATTGATATTGAAAGAAACTATTCTGATAACTATTGATATTGCAAGCAACTATTGCCATAAATATCGATAGTTTTCAGTGTATCATTTTAGATGGATTTTAGCGTTGAATTAAACCTTTGAACTGAATTTTCCTTTGAATGTGATAACCATAACAACAAATAAAAAGTAAAGTTTGAGATATGACTGATTTGTTTTTTCTTTATCCTAATAATTGAAGTAAAAGAAATTTCCACATTACCATGTGTAAATTACTACCACTCATGATCAAAAGAAAAACAAATTTGAACAGCATTGCATGTATTTTATTTATATGGTAAATACAATCGAAACTATCAATATTCCTAACTGAAATAGATACTATTGATCGGAAACTGATTTAACAATCGATCGAAGTGCTTACCAATTGCAATATATTGATATTATGATTTATCGTGACACCCCTATTCAATACACAAAAAATATCACCATCATGTGGCTGATTAGCAGATAATTTCAGAAACAAAAACCAGCTCATATCATTCATAAAGTAAAACATAACATGCACTAAACATATCTCTGAGTCAGACTGTACACAACCACTTTGGTTATTTTGAATATCAGCCCATTCGACACTGCTGCTAAATACCAAAGGGTTCCCCTGCTTAGGCGGTTGGTCTGCTGGCTGTCATATCCCGAAGTCAAAAGGATTATATATCTTCTTCACAAACTTTTATTTGGATAAAGAAATTGCACAAGTAAGTATTTTGAAAATAATTATTACAAATACATTTTTGTGATCGTAAATTATTACGTTCTATAATGTAATAGCACATCCCGATTGCATGAAAATTGGCATCATTTTTCACACTTGGTAACAATATGCATGCTCTTTGCAATGTAGATCTGGACTATACTTTTTCTTTTTATATTAAACTTTTTAAAGTGGATTCGACAGGTGAGTACATGCGAGGATTCGAATTGACTACCGCACAAATATACATACCCCTTGTTAATAAGCGGGGATCGACAATCGGCTGTTGCCTAATGAACGGGGGGTCGCATTGACCATTGCCCGCGGACGCACAAGGTAGGACCGTTTTGTAATATCAGTCTTTGTCGAAACGTACAGGGCGTCGAATCGTTTGGCTCCCTTTTATGTACGAGATATGAATAAGATAGGTCAGATAGTATGGTTAGGGTATACCTTCTCGGAAATCCGCTACACGTATGGTCTTAAGTGTGACAAATATATTCACATTTCCAACATCAGTTTGTTGACAATTTTCAGCATGGGCCAAGGCACCGGAAGTTAAACAAATTTGGCGCGTCATAGCTCTCAACTCTATACAGGGCCAAGGAAACCGCCACAAGCTGATTTCTAATACTAAAGGCGCTGCAGTAGAGTTCTAGCCTAGTTCATCACGCATGGGGCTATTTTTCTGGATACATTAAATATATAACTGTCGTTTTGGAAGGGGAGATTTATTTGGAAATATTCTGTGTTATGTATTTTGCCTGCTATGGGTTTTTCTTCTTGAAACTTTTAACTGGTTACACTCTTGGTACGCCGGCTGGCATGCACATATCCAGAAGACTGGAGCCCAGTTGCGTTCAGTTGGGTCGGTCAGATTTAGGAATAGTACACACATATTGTTGACGTCATAACATTTTCAAAATGTGTATTCTCATCAAACGAAATATGATCAGCTTTTCTAAACAAGTAGGTCTGGCCTTCAATCCTGTATAAATAACCATGTCTGTAATTGTTACATAGTTTAACGATTGAGAAGATAAGATAACACTATATTTTCCCTAAGGAAATTTGGTTTACAGCCCAAGGTGTCAGCTTATTGTTGTTTGTTGTTTGAAGCCGCACATCGATCCCAATTGCGTGGATCGATGCTCATGATTTCAATCACTGGATTTTCTGGTCCAGACTCGATTATTTACAGACCGCCGACATATAGCTGGAATATTGCTGAGTGCGACTTTAAACAACAAACCAAGCGCTCTCAGCAATATTCCAGCTAGATGACGACATGCATCATCCAAGTCAGTGAGCCTGACCACCCGGTCCCGTTTGCCGCCTTTTAGGGCAAGCGTGAGTTGCTGTAGACCTGTTTTAACTCGAATCCTCACGGGTATTCAGCTTATTAATAAGACATTATACAAATAAATAAGAATATCACAAACTTAATTAACATTAAATGTGACACTAGTGAATTATATGCTGAACAATTATTCAATCTCATTAAAATTAGATCTTAGTTCTCGCTACCGCTAAACAAAGATCTGAAGACATCCCATTAGGGGTCACGTCAGAACATGATCATGAAAGTGACAGTCGGAATGTGATTTCTAATCATACAACCTCGAAAACTTTAACACGGGGTATTCCGAACGATAGTTACTGGTTTAACGACTGAATCCATACAATCTAGACCATCTCTGAGCCATTCCAGAATGTTCTTTTGTTTAGGTTTCAAATTTGTAATCGAGAATTTGTCAAAATATGTTGCGAAGCGTAGTCGCCAATTTGAAATTAGTGCCGTAGAGCACGAGAAAGCTGCCTTCTGATTGGTCATTCCATTGGTCAGTCAAAGTTCGCGCAAGGTCGGTCTGACGTGACCCGTAATGGGATGTCCTCAGATCTTTGTTTAGCGGTAGCGAGAACTAAGATCTGATTTTAATGAGATTGAACAATTATTTATCAAGACTTTGATACTACGACGTTTGAGATGGGATCGTAGTTGACATGATTAAAGACACTTTGCAATATATAATACACCGTTAGAAATTGGCACTAGTCCCGTAGTCCTTCCCGAACTGCCCAATAGTTAAGGTATCACAAGGGCCAGTAGAATTTGTCCCCTTTTTAGGGGATTGGCTATGCGATGTTATCATTATAAGGACTAGTGGACTAAAACTGTTAGTTTCTATCGCCGTATAATATAACTTCTCTCTTGTGTTATCAATAAATTGTTTTTCAGTAATCCATAACCAATGCAAGATCATATCTGCTGTTCCGCCATTTCCGCCATCAGAGGTTTTTGTTTGAGACACGATTTTTTCTTTTCGGTCTCAAAATAGCGATTTAGTGTATTGTTTTCTTGAACAAATTATCTTTTTTTTCAAAATAGAAAACCTATTATTTTCGTAAATACAGGCCTCTTTTTAATCTCTAGATTTGTGTCCCAAACCTTAGAGTCGAATAACGAAGTACGATTTACAAAAATACAAAATTTCTGTTTGGGTTCAGTGATCACATACAAAATTACCAGTGGGGAGAAAAAAAAAAGAGACAGATGGATGTTCATGAAAGAAATTATTAAAAAAACGCCCGTCTTTTCAATAGGAAGTCAAAGGGTTAATTCCTTCCTGTATTGACCTACTTTCATTTCAATTCAGTTTCATTATTGAAACCGCGGCGAGTAATTGTACTTATAAAACTACATTTGCGAAATTCTGGGTCAGATAATCCGTCAATTTCGTTTGTACATCGACGTGTTTTCGAAAACACGTGATGTCATCGAAACGTGTGTAGAATTACTTTATTGACACCGGTCTATCTCATTCATCTTATTGACGCGAGGTGGCGCTGCTGGGCACATGCGCACAGAACTTCCGTCGTCTCCATTAACCGATCTGATACAAGGTAAATTAGTGCGAAGTACATGTTTCAATGTCCATTACGAAATTACGTTCCTTTCAGTTTACGTAGTTGGTTATTATGAAACATATAGCATATTATAATGAACACTTGATTCTTGAGTGCGATATAGTTTGACAAGAGGTTCCAGGAATACAGATTTTCAGTAGGCTATTTGACATTTTTGAAGAAGAAACGGGTTGTGCAGTAGCATTGATGTTCCATATTCAAGAAAACTCCCTTCAGAAATGTTTACTTAAATAACCCATTTGTATTCTTTTACTGTAACCACCCAAATCATAAAGGTATACTTCTTTTAACACTAATGTTGCACAATCATTATCCTCAAATCTTTTTACTGTGACAAAAATCTGATTTTGATTAAATTGCTGATGTAAATGTAATAATGAGACCGTGATGAGATTTGAACCACAGACCTTCTTAACGATGCTCATGATGTCAATCACTGGATTGTCTGGTCCAGACTCAGTTATTTACAGACCGCCGTTATATAGCTGGAATATTGCTGAGTGGGACGTTAAACAACAAACAAACCAAAACCACATCTTCAGTGGTTTCCATAGAGACATGTTTGGCTTCAAAGTCTGCTTTATGGATGTGGCAGATCTTAGTAACATTATAAATAAGGCATGACACTAGAATGCACAAGCATTCTCATAATGTTGAAGGATTTCAACACGCTTCCCAATGTCTGGTTACACATCATAGGATGTTTTTGAAACCTATGTACCTTTCTATTCCTTAATCAGACAAGTGGGGATTCCAGGCAAGAGTATGGGTCCCAAAAAATCTAGAGATGGCTAAATGGATCGTGTTGTCAGGCTCTGTGACTTGGTTGATTGCATGGATTGATAGCAAAGATTCTCATGAATGTCAGTCTCTGGAATGTCTGGTCCAAACTCCATTATTTACAAAATGCTGGAATATTGCCGAGTGCAGCATTAAATTAAATTTGTATTGTGTATTTTTGTAAAATTTATGGAACATATACTTTGAATGAGGATTTCAATTGAAAATAAGAATGAGTAACTGTTTTGTAGGGTTACCATATTGTTTTCCAAAACAGCACAAATAAAATTTTGCAATACGTTTTGTATCTTGTCTCAAATATTGCGATGTATGAGGTGGGCATATTGTGATAACCCAATTGTGTAATGCTTTCAGACATTGAGGCATCATGAGCAGTTCAGAAGAAGTCTCCTGGATATCCTGGTTCTGTGGGCTAAGGGGAAATGAGTTCTTTTGCGAGGTATGTACTTTCTCGGAAATGTCCTTGGATGTCCTATTACAGCCCGGGTGGCCCAGTCATCTGAGGCGCCACGATTCGCTGTGCAGAGTTGCGTCCCTTGGGCCAGAAACCTATGATTGTGGGTTTGAATCCCGGTTCACCCCAATTATGTTACTTGGTTTGTCAGAACCATACCCGCGCTCGTGGTAAACGTCTGGACCCTGCATCACTTCTGGCTTTCCTCCCAAATTAAGCTGACATGCAGCGATATAACTGAAATACTGTGAAAAGCAGCGTTAAACAAAACTCACTCACTCACCTATTACAGAACTCAAGGGTGACCCAGTTATTTAAGGCGCCGCAATTCACTGTGCATAGTTTTGTCATTTGGGCATGCCAGAAACCTATGATTGTGGTTTCAAATCCTTGTTTGCCCCGATTATGTCTGTCAGCACCGTGCCTGTGGGTCTCACCAAAGTGGTAAATGTCTAAGACATATGTCGCATCAGGCTTTCCTCCCACGATAGGCTGTGATATGACTGGAATACAAAAAAAGCGGTGTTAAACTCAACTCACTCAATCACTAAGGCACCAATCGCTGTGCAGAATTGTTGCTAAGGCGTTCCAGAAATATTTTATTATGGATTCGAATCCCAGTTTGTCCTGAATGTTCTTCTAGGTTTGACAGTGCCATGCATGTGTTTTACCAAGTTCGTATGACTAGTATGAGATGACAAAAGTGACATGGTTGATTGCGTGACATCATGCCCCAATTTGGCTGAGTTCAGCATTAAACAACAGACAAAATATAAATGTTGTATTTTCAGGTGGATGAGGACTATATTCAAGACAAGTTTAACTTGACTGGTCTCAATGAACAGGTGCCACACTACAGACAGGCCTTAGACATGATCTTGGACCTGGAACCAGGTATGTCAGACTGCATCGCAAATAACAGCATGCCTTGTTGGGGACTCCAGTCTACCAGATATCATCCTTGACACTGTTAGAACCAAAAACTGAAATATGTGCGTTTCCAGTTCCCTGACCAACCCAAATCTGGAAACCATGCCTTGAAACCTGTATCCTCGAGTTGCATCGTAGCTTTTATCACCATCATTGTCCATATTTTATTAAACTTACTCCTCTCTGAAGTTCTTGAAAACAGAATCAGAGCTTTCGAAGATTAACTGTTTACATAATTGTTATTTGAACATGTTGAAAGCAGTCTGTTACAGATTGTCATTGTTAAACAATTGTAAAGTCACGACATACATTCCCTTGTTTTTGATGGTCTGAACTAGGAAACGCACATATTTATTGATGTTTCTGGACCTAGTGTACATTAATTAGGGCAGGGGTATCAAGTGGAGAGAGGGTTGGGAAGAAAACAATTTCTGAACAATTGTACACTTTGAATTTCACAAGGGACGTGATCCAGGCTACACTACAGCTTCTGAGTATTAATGTTAACCATTGTCATGAAAATACAGAAATTGTATGATTGACATGATAACCCTCTTAAGAAACAGATCTCTTTAATTAATAATTATATCTTTTACTGCCATGAATGCATATGGTTTTGTCTTTTGTAAATGGTATCCCATCTTCCTGAGGCAAGGGAGTTAACTGACTGAACTAGGCTGAAATTTCTGGGCTCAATTGTTGTGCCACCAGTGGCTATTACTTCTATGTCCCTCCTACTGACCAATCAGATGCCACCTCTCATATTAATTGCACTTGTTTTAAACAAAATGGAGGTGCCCAGTCAACATGACCAAGATGATCTCATCAATAATAAAGAGGGGCGGTCGGGTAGCCTAGTGGTTAAAGTGTTCGCTCGTCACGCAGAAGACCCGGGTTCGATTCCCGACATGGGTACAATGTGTGAAGCCCTATTCTGGTGTCCCCCCGCCGTGATATTGCTGGAATATTGCTAAAAGCGGCGTAAAACCATACTCACTCACTCAATAATAAAGATCTTTATTGTAATAAAACAGGTTTTACCTTGCAAAGTGTATCATATCACTTGAGCACCTTGATTGAAACATGAAAAGATTTGGAAAATATCCGGATGTTTGATTGGACTATGCATAGACTCGTTAGTCCAGCCAGCATGTTACTCCATAATCTCAGCCTAGTTCGTCAAGGGTGGAAATTGGATTTTTGAAGTCAGTTAACTCCCTTGCCTTGGGATGATGAAGGCATCCTGAGGGCTAGTGGAATGTCAGGCTTTTTAGGGATGTCCCTTAGTTATTTCTATGCAGACTAGTAAATGTTTCAGATAAACAGTGGGTTAAATTTTCATCTCTGTGTATTTAACTTTGTTTCACGTCTGTTTCAGCGTAAAACTATAAGTTCCATCACCTCCTTGTAGCACTATCCCCAAGTCTCAGTTTAGGGTATTGTACAGGCATGTGATTGAAGGATGGCAAAGACTAAAAAGCTAGATTTTGGAGGCCCATAAGCCCCCAGCCTGAACTTTACCAGGGCAATACACTTTGTGAATGAATTACTGAACAAAAATAGTAACTTTTTCACTGATCGAAAACTATTTTTCACCTTTTTGCCAATTTCTTTAACTGTAAAAGCTCCTTTTCTTTCCCACACTGCCATGCTTTCATTCAAGAAAAGACATGAGAATCAGCTGTGATTTGACCCAATGCAATGTTTTACCAAAATGTATCAGCAGTACATTTTGTTTGGGTTTTATTGAACAGCTGGGAGCTGCAAATAAATGAAATCCTGTTTTCTTTCACCAGAAATTAACGTCAGGTTAGGGGAAACATGGAGATATAAAAGACGGAATTCAAACTTTGTTAGAAACTATCACATGCCTGATTGTATGTCTAGACCCTGTTTCATGAAGAGATCGTACTGCTACAACTATTGCAAGTCAGTATTACGCCACTGTAGTTAGGATGCCAGTGTTTAAAACAAAAATTAAAATTGCCAGGTTGACATCAGGATACACAGACATTAGAACCTGCAGGCCCTGACTAAACACTTCAGGCTGTCATTTAAAAAAATGCAACTTATTGTGACAAATAAATTTACTTCAGGCCATAAGAACTCATACAAGTTTGAAACTGCGGGCCTATTCGAACACGGTACAATAATCTCAGCTCAACAATCCTCTTTGTAAGACAGGATCCGGGCTCACAAAACTGCCAATTAGATACCACTATATCAATGAATAGATAAGACTTCACTCAAGACAAGAGTTAATGATTTGGCTTAGGCAGAATTGATAAATACTTCAGTTTTGGAAATTAAGAAGGACCTACAGGTTTTCTCCAGGTATAGTATTTGAATTTATGGACACCTAAATTTTTAACTTTTAACATCAGGGTTATGACCTTCATACATAATTTCCAACAATGTACAAGAGGAATGAATTTAGTTTTGGTGGTGTGTGTTTAACTATCTACCCTGTGTCTAGATGAAGAGGAGGAGGCCCCTGGTACTGATGTGATCGAACACACTGCCGAGATGCTATACTGTCAGATACATGCTAGATTCATACTTACCAATTCCGGCATCTGTAAGATGGTAAGCCACTGCTGCCCAAGGGGGAGGGGCTTGGGGGAGTCAGGTGTGTGACAGGTGTGGGACAATATCTTGTAGATTGCAACAGTAAATATGTCTGTTTGGGACCATTGTCATGATTGTTGTTGATGACTGAATAATGTCTTGGTTGAAACAGATCTTCTTTCATCTTGTCAAACTTATGATGACTCATCCAGTAAGAAAACTTGATCATTTACAGTGTTCATTCTAGTTATCCCCCTGGTTCGGGTGAGAACAGGTCCCAGCGACCTATGCTTGTCGTTGGAGATGACTAATGGGTGGTTAGTCTGTCATCGTTCCCCAGCTATGTGTGACATCTCATAAATCCCTGGTTTGTCTTGACAAGATAGCTACAAACGTAGTAAAAATTGCTGACATCAGCATTAAACAACAAACATTTTTGTAATAGATATGGGGCCCTTTAACTTGTTTGGACTTGAAAATGCCAGTGACAAACATGGGTGCTTAGTAAATATGGATGTGGTTCAGGCATCATTTGACATTGTCAGAAAGGGGTTCCACAATTTTTTGGGGAAAATTAATCATTCTATAAGATGTTTAAGCATCCTTATTTTGTTGACATGACATTGCCTGCCTAGCTTTACCAATGTCATGATAAGTGTGTAATGTTTACAATGTAGGATATCTGGTTTTGGAAACCCCAGTCCCAGTTGTGACACATCGGTCATATGTCTTGCATCTTAATTGAAATAGATATGACAATGCCCTGCTAAATACCGGTAGGTGCGACAATGCCCTGCTATATGTTACTTTGCCCTGCTAAATAGATGTGATGATGCCCTGCTTAAGCAATGTTAAGTACATATAATGACCTGCTATATAGATGTGACAATGCCCTGCTAAGTAGATGAGTAAAATGCCCTACCCTAGAATGAACACTGTTGGTATTCCTGTTAAACAGTGACTGGTTAAAATATTGCAAAATTAAATACAGGAAATAATCAGTTTTTGGAAACCCATTTTGTTACTTAGCTGATCTTTTCTATAGAAATATTAATTGAGGCATATTCGAGAATTAATTTCATTTCTCAGTTCAGGCTCTCTTTGCTAAGCACTGTTGATGGTTCCCATAGCCTCAGTCCTTCCCATGGTAAACTTCACTTGTCACACACCATGGAGGTTCCCGCCTGGATGGGGCTTCCCCCATGTTGACTGCTTTATTAAACCCTCTGTAGACGTTCCTAGGTAGTCTTGTTGACTGATCAGTGCCTGCTTGTTATGCGTGCATGCGTTCAGCTGTTTGGAGCCCAGCTGTGTTACACCACTCCATTACTAAACTATCTCAGTCATGCCAGAGCTCCCGTTTCAGAGCAACATTCATTGGGTATTCATAGCTTTCTTTATGTAGTCAATATATCTTTGTTCCCTCGGATCCTGTATATTGGACATATTAAACCAATGAGTAGATTTTCCTTAATTAATTCTGCTTAAACTGCTGTTTCAGGTGCCTCCCAATTTCTATTGGTTCATGTGCTGCCCCAAGTCTGTCACATGTTCCATAAGCTCACCAGCAATATATATGTCTTTTACAATAAGCAAGACAATGGTTTTGTGCATTATTCACTGCAGTAGAGTTGATGTTTGTGATGCCTGAATTCAGTTAGAATATAATACCATGCTCACAAACTCACTTCTACTACATGAACTATAGCTATGTAGACTTATGGCAAGTGAAATTCAAAAGTTGTGATGAGAAAGACCTGTCCCCTCTCACACAGGGATATTATATGAAGGAGAAAGATGAGATTTGAGAGAGATTGTAGAGAAAGACAGTGCCAGGGGATTGACTGCTATACACCTAGGAACCTCAGCATCCCCACAGTACTTCATCTTCATGACTCATTGTCTCATACAGTGCAGATTCTCATTTCTAGTCACCCAGTATCTTCGTCAAGACACTTGGTTTGTTTGTATATCAGTTTGTGACCAGGGCCCACTTCCACAAAGCGATCTTAACTCCCATACTATATCATAGGCTTATGATAGTCTTAGCGCTAAGATCGCTTTGTGCAAGTGGGCCCAGATGAATAAGTTCCCTTAAACATGACTTCAAAGACAGTTGGCTCTTGGTTTGATTGTAGATTAGCCAAATGTGTTTTCTCACCAAGAAAACTGCCGTTCACCTCATGCCTAAAAAATTCATGGTGACATTAGATGAAATAAGTTGTGCATAATTTTGAATTATGTTATGGTTTCAGACAAGAAATATGTGTTTCTTATTTCATCAAGTGAATATTTGATTTTTCTGGTCACAGACAGAATTCTATTAAAATATGGGAGTTTTAATTTGAAAATTTTGCACCTGCAAGAAATTGACACTGGCAGTTTTTTGCAGCCAACAATGTAATTGTGAGGTGATTACAGGTGCTTCCAGTGCATTTTGACGAAGAATGTCACTCTGGATGCTCACAACCCCAGTGGGTAACGACAAGATGAGAGTCTGTACAAGTGATTAACGCTCGTTTTGCTTTTTGTATAGATGACGAACTAGAAGACAACCCCAATCAGAGTGATCTTATTGAACAGGCTGCGGAGATGCTATATGGCTTGATTCACGCCCGATACATTATGACTAATCGAGGCATTGCCCAGATGGTAAGCTTGCTGCGCCCACACCGGGCATGTAACCTAGACAGCTAGGGCAGGCCACGTGTATGGTGGTTCAATGAAGGTAACATGTCTCTGGCCTTCAGTTTCTTCACAAGAAAGACTTGCCTCTATTTCAACAGAACTGGGCAGTTGAAACAAATAAGGCTCCAGGTTAGGAATTAAGAAAAATGGACTGTTGGGTCGCTGACGATTCAGATTTGATGCTAAGCCCATATAAACCAGTATTGGAATAGGAATAAACATGGGGTAAAAACCTACTCACTCACTATGGACTTCGGGTACTAGTTACTCCAAGAATGGGAACTTTCTTTAGTTTCACCCTTATCCTTTCCATGGCTAAGTCAGGTGTATGGGTATTTTGCAGCCTTGAAACGCTGACATGTTTTTCCAAGAGAACAGCCAGTACAAGATTATATGTTATTATGCCACCTTCTAAAGCCCAACCCTGTTTGTATCAGATATTGTGTAAATGATGTAACAACATTTCAGTTTTCTGAATAAGGTTTACGATTTTATATATATCTCATATTGTCAAAATCAAAAAAGATTTTATAATGGAATTTAACCTGATTAGTAAGCAGGCTCAAAGGAAGACTACATAAAGTACAAATCGGCATGTGCAGATTTGGTACACTTAAAACCAGTCTGGCTGTCCTCGTCAAAAAGCATTCTGATATTTAAAACCCTAATAGAACAATATATTTAAAAACAAACTGTTAATTCCCGCAAATAAAAAATGTTTGAGGATTAATAGCTTCTGATGAAGATGGAGACATTCAAGTGTGGAGGATCAAGCAGTGCTCTAGTACAGACTGTATGTGATAAGGAGTTTGCTTACCTGTAACCATGGTAACATGTATGAAATGAACTACCTAATGCCTCTTTTCAATCATTTTGTTCAGTCCTACTTGACATCTGTTCAGTTTGCCTCATCGAAAACAGGTCATTACTGACAACTGCTTTATTTTGACGCCAACCGATTCCAAATAACTCTAATTCCACTGGGACTGATTGTGTGGTGACTTGCTAGGTGTTCAAACACATCTAGAATAGACCCTCATCATGTTGAGTGTTGGATTTGAGAGCATTTGTGCATGTCACATTGATTTCCACCAGTGTCATGTCACATCAGTTCCTTCCAGGTTTTGTACACACTACATTCCTCCATCACCTGTGAATGCGTATCTCTGCAGTATAATACTGATAATACTGATGTGTGTCTATTTTAAGTCAGCTTATGAAATGAGGCTGTTTGTTGCTCAAGGACATTTAATGTTCTACACTGTGCATGATATTCATGTAAGCCCAACCATTGCCTGATGCTGAAGCAGTAGAGCCGTCGGCCATAAACCTGTGTCACATGCTGCACAAGACATTGCACTTGTGAGATGTAATTTGACCTCTCATTGGTCTGAGCTCTCAGTGGTTTCCAGCTCGCTGACACCAGGCCATGTCGTGATTTGGTGGTAAGAAGTAGTGACTACATGCTGCCGTGTGTGTTCATGGTTGATGGAGGAACATGGTGTATTCAAACCTGTTCAGTATTGGTGACAGTCATGTCACAGTTCTAGTTTGTTGTAGAGGAGGTTGTTTCATGACTATCTAATCTGATACTTTCATCTGTTTGCACAATGAGCTATGACTAGATAATTGGTGTAAGCCTGTTCTATGCTCAACTTTATTAACTCTGAAAATAGAATAATGTTCTTTTTCTTGGTTGAAATAATATAATACCTCTATCCTGAAATTAGCTTGCCTTGACATCGTCAATGTGAGCTTATATCACGGCTTGCCATCCATCTGAAAATTAAGAATCGCCTTCCTTTTATACTTCTACACAAGCTGAGCCCCATCTCTCTCCCCCTCCCCACCCCGGTGAAGATCCGGGATACAACTGGTCTTCAGCAACCCATGCTTGTTGAAAGATACAACCAACGGGATAGGGCGGTCAGGCTCACTGACTTGTTTGTCAAGTCATTGTATCCAGATTGTGTAGATCAATGCTCATGCTGTCAATCAGTGGATTGTCTGCTCCAGATTCAATTATTTAAAGACAGCCATCATATTGCTGGAATATTGATGAGCACATCAACAAACAAATCAACATTTGAACATGTTATTGACAAATTTTATCTGTACCCAATGTTTTTATTCTTTAAAAACTCTGTATTGTTTTCACATTGTTTCTCAATGATTATTGATGCATGTCCAGTGTAGAACATGTTATATCCAGTGTAGAATATTATTGATGTTTTAACTGATGAAGTCATCTAAATACCAGTATTAACATCAAACTATAAGATTGAAATATTAAGATTGCCACAATAGATGATAGATGATATTGTGCAAATCATGTTTTTGTTTAATCAGTGATTTATTTTCTCTTTCTATGCCACATCAAGTTCAATTTGTTCAGAACAAAATTTATCTTTATTGTTTTGCCTTCATCAGCCTATACATGGTAAACATGGTAAAATTACCGACCTAACTATTTCTACTTCATTAAGAAAACATTATGTAAATGTCATGTTAATTACATTAAGTAATACGTTACCACTGTTATACCGAGGCTGTTGTCTCCCACAACTGCTGCTATAGCGAAATCTACCACAGAGATCTCAATTACCTCATGCAGCACGTGCGTAGCCACCTAGCTGCCATGTGACACCCTTCACTCTTGTCTCCTTCGTCTGCTTAGCAAGACGTGTTTTCTCCTGCTGAAGCGTTCCTTGAAGATTTGGTGATATTTATTATAGTTTATTCTCTAATAAACTGTGCTTTTATGGGGCGTTGCGGTAGCTACGCTTGGTTATAATTTTCCCGCCAAACGGAAAATTTTTCCCGCCCTTTTTTCTATATACTTGCGGGGTTCGCGTATGCACGTTGTGTTTTACGTTTCCCCTGTTCTTGTATGTTTTGGGGGTTAACATAACTTATTTCTTTAATAAAAGTTATATGTGTATGTTATATGTTCACATTGCTCGTTTATTTTCTTGTGAAAATGTTCGTTTGTGAATCATTGTGGTGCGTGCGTTGTAACCATGTTTTGTTCTTTGTTTATAGCAAACAATCAATGTCTGACATGGATATGTCCCCAGTATCAACCCCCTCTACCCCTGCTCCTCGGAGTTATGGGGTGTGCAGAAAGTTTTTGTCGTCCCGGGATCCCCACGTTCGTTGCCCGCGGTGCAGGGTTCCTTGCGGGGACACCCGGTGCATCCTGTGCGAAGGTCTGGGGCCTGCGGATTTTGAGCGGTACCGGCTGTACGTACAGTCCGTCTCCACCCCTGTGGTGGCCGGTTCGTCCGGTCGGGGTCCCCGTGCGGGTACCACCTCCTCGGCTGCGGCGGATCCCCTTGCGGCCCTCGGGCTGTCTGGGGATTCCGTCGCCGCATTGTTGTCGAAACTTGTGGATTCCATGCTGGCGGCCTTATCGCAAGATAGGCCGCTGGCTGTTCCGTCCCCGGCCTCTTCGGTGGCCGCGGGGTCGGACGCGGGGTCCACCGGTAAAGCGGCGGATCTCTTGGCGGCCCGTGTGCTGTCCGGGGATTCCGTCGCTGCATTACTTGCATAACTTGTGGACTCCAAGCTGGCGGCCTTATCTCAGGATAGGCCGCTGGCTGTTCCGTCCCCGGCCACTTCGGTGGCCGCGGGGTCGGACGCGGGGTCCACCGGTACGGCGGCGGCTCCCGTGGTCACCGGTCCTTCCCCCGAACCGTTGCTCCCGCTATCGGTTTAGGACCGCGTGGCCATGGTTTATGACCTCTTTGAGGACATGCCCCGGCCGGTACCGCGGGGAATCCACGACTGTGGGTTCCTCCGAGGTATACGATGAGTCTTCCGACTCGGCTTTCCCCGCATCAACCTTGCTGCGCGGTTTCAAGCCTTCCTTGGAGAACGCCTTCGCGGCGGCCTCCGGTCGGGGTCTCCCGTTGCCTCCGACGTCGTGGAGAAAGGGTTTATTCCCGGTACATGACCTTGCCTTTCCCGAGGCTGGTCCTACCGCGGAGGCCCATGTTGAGCGGTTGGGTGTCCGTGCCCCACCGGCTGCTACGGTAACGCAAGCTACCTTGCACCAGCTGGACGCCCTCGCTCGGCACTCCATGTCTCACGGAGACACTTACTTGGCTGCAGCGGCCCGTCTGGTCGAAGGTTCTCCCACGGACCGTGACCAGCGCATTTACAACTGCCTGCTCAGTTTAAATGCTTCCCTGGAGTACGTTGCCGAGGACTCTCGGCACACACTTGCTCTTGTTGGGTCCCTGCATAGGCGCCTGGGTACCGCTCCTAACCGGAGCGCGCCCCAGGCTGCTGCGGCCGGTAGGTCTAAGGGGTCGGGTTCTTCTTCCTCTGGGAAGTAGCCCCGCCCTGAGGGCTCCGGTATGGGCAATCAGCTGCCCTTTCGCGGGAAGACGGGGAACTGGGGGAAGCCCAAGTCGTCGACGGACGGCAAGGGCCCCTCCAGGTGACTCTCATTGGAGGGGTTCGTATGCCGACAGCGCCAACTTCGGTTGGCCCTTAGGCGAACCCGAGTCACTTGGCCCTGGACAGTTGCGCCTGTCGCAACCTGTCAGGGCCCCCTCTCCTTACCCAGTGGGAGCCAGACTCCAGACTTACTGGGAGAATTGGGAACAAGTGTTCGACGACCCGTGGGTGGTCAACACGATTCGGTACGGCTATCGGCTTGATCTCAAAGCGAATCCGCCGCTCACCGTTGCCCCGTTGGCAGGTTTCGATTCGGAAACCGATCTTCCCATCCTCGCCGATGCCATCGGCAGGTTGGTGGAGAAGGGGCAGTACGGGAGTTAGCTCTACCAGAAATAACACCGGGGTTTTACTCCAGGATATTTCTCGTTCCCAAGTAGGACAGTGCCGAACTCAGAATGATTCACACGTCCGCTCCCTGGCTGTTCACCCGGTTAACCACCCCCATAGTGGGGTTCCTCCACAGGAGGGGTGTCCGGTACTTCGCGTACCTGGACGACTCGCTAGTAGCAAATCGAATGACGGACACCCTGTCACGCCATCTCGATTTCGCACGTCGGCTCTTGGAGCAATTTGGGTGGATTATCAATCTCCCCAAGAGCGAGTTAACCCCTTCTCAGAACTTGCTGTTCATCGGAGGTCGGTTCAACACGGTGTCCCATCGCCTCTTTGTCCCCCCAGACCGGTGGCACAAAATTCAGGCGATGATTGCCAAAGTCTTAGCGGTGCAACAGACTGTTCACTTTTGGGAACAGCTGTTAGGGCTACTTGTATCAGCCCAGGACTGCACCGCACGGGGTCGTCTCCAACTCCGCCCGCTGCAACGGTTTTTAATCCAGTTGTTAGCAACGGAGGTGAACAGTGCGACCGTCGCCCTCCCGGATCGGCTCCGACCGCATCTGGAGTGGTGGACGGTCCCTTACATTGTCTTATCAGGAGTCTCTATGCGGCCCTACCGGGCCACGTTGACCCTGTATACAGACGCCTCTCTAGTGGGCTGGGGCGCCCATCTAAAGGGGGAGGTGAGCTCGGGGCTGTGGTGCTTAGACGAACTAGGTCTTCACATCACTTGTCTCGAGTTCAAGGCAGTGATCAACGCAGTCAATCACTGGAAGCATCGTCTCGTCGACGCCCGGCTCATGCTGGCGACCGACAACACGACGGTAGTGTCCTATGTGAACAAACTGGGGGGAACCCACAGTCACTCGCTACTCGATCTCACGTTCGAGTTTTACGCTCTGGTGGACAGTGTCCCGTGCCAGATACGCGCCCGTCACATCCCAGGTGTGCGGAACGTACTGGCCGATGCTCTATCGAGGCCTCAGGATCCGAGCCCCACAGAGTGGATGCTGAACCCAGTAGTGTTTCAGTGGCTGTGCGAACGTTTGGGTCGTCCGATGGTCGACCTGTTCGCAACGCGGTTCAACAATCAACTCCCGTTGTTTGTATCACCAGTCCCGGTCCCGAGGGCCATCGATCACGATGCTCTCGCGTTAGACTGGACGGGCTTGGTCGCTTATGCTTACCCGCCGACAGCGTTGATACCACACATTCTAAGCCGGCTCCGAGGAGTTCGCTGTCGAATGTTACTGATCGCGCCCATGTGGCCGAACAGATCGTGGTACCCCGACTTGCTGACCCAGGTCACGCAGTCGCCACTTCCACTGCCTGTGAGACTGGATCTCTTGATCCACCCTCACACCCGTCAGCTTCATCCAAACGCAGGGCAGTTCAATCTGCACGCGTGGATGTTGTCACCGAGCGTCTGAGGAGTAAAGTTTTTTCTCGCCGGGCGTCTCGGGCATACGTTAGTATGCATCGTGATTCTACCCAGAAGGTGTATAATGCACGTTGGGTTATTTTCACGAAGTGGTGTTGTAAACATCACATTTATTCGCCAGATAAGGTATCTGTGCAGGATATTGCTCGTTTCATGTCTCACTTGCGAGAGACCCGGAAACTCTCCGGGGGTTCCATTGCCAACTATGTCTCGTCCGTTGCTACGGTACGGGACATTGCTATGGGTACCAGTCTCTCCAAAGAGCCGGTGATACGGGGTATTTTCAAGGGTTTCAAACAGCACGATCTTAAGAAGGGCCGCCTTCGGGCACCGGCCTGGGATCTTTCCCTAGTGTTGCAATCACTTACGGAAGCTCCGTATGAACCCTTGCATAGTGCTTCGTTCCGGCATGTGACTTGGAAAACAGCATTTCTCCTCTCCTTTGCCACGGCGGCACGTGTATCCGAAATTCATGCACTCGATGTCGCCAAGGTACGATTCGATAGGGGTGACGAAGGAGCGGTCCGCCTGGGCCTGCTCATGGGCTTCGTCGCCAAGAATCAGAGAGTCGGGCAAACGGAGAGAGAATTCACTGTAAGATCACTCAAAGAAATCTTACATCCTGCTGATACTGAGGACAGAGCGCTGTGTCCGGTTAGGGCCCTTAAGTATTATCTTAAGGCTTCGAATGAACGTAGACAAGGGCGTGACCGTCTGTTCATATCGTGTAACCCTAATCGCACGGTTGACATAACTCGCAACTCGATTGCGTTGTGGCTTCGTTCTGTCATCAATCTGGCGTACCGGTCTCGGGGGTTACCGGTAGCGGGGTCAAACCCGCACGAGATCAGGGCGCTAGCGGCAACATTTGCCCTACACTCGAATATCTCTGTTCGCAGAATATTACGAGGTTGTTACTGGCGTTCTGACTCGGTTTTTGCCAATCATTACCTCAAACAGGTCGCTGATGCCGTCGTGGAGAGTGTGCACCGTCTTGGCCCGCGGATCGCGGCGCAAGCGGGCACCTAAGGGGTGTGCCCAGCGCAATTCCGAACTCCTCAGGCGTCTGACCTTGCACGGTGGTCAATCTGGGTCGACTCCAATGTTCCCACTGCCGTGGGTACAGGAGTTGGGGTCCCGCAAACCAGCGCACTCACACCACAGGTGAGGGCGGCTTTTTGTGTGCTTTGTCCTTATTTGTATTTTGACAATTATGTATTTAATTGTCTGTCGTGTATCCCAACCTTGTGATGCATGCTTACAAATACTGGAATTAGGTCACGCGCCTAATGCATACTTTAAGTAGGCTTGCTCTGGGATATACGGTCTGAATGAAATTAATTTCCCTCTTTTCGACTGTTTAACCTGATCTAAGATTAAGCTCACGCGGATACAGTGTTCTCATCCGCTGCGGCGATGAAATACCTATCCAGTGGGGCCGTTTGGAGTCACCAATCGTTTTGGCAATGACGATTGAGCCTTACGGTATGCGCTTGACAGTGCTTTGGTATTCCTATAGGGTAACGCCTAGCTAGGTGCATGCGCATCGAGTGCTTCCGCCTTGGTGTTTACTTCCGCTGGTCGGAAGGAACGCTAGCAGTCAGGATTCGGGTTGTAGGTGCTCCCCACCGCCTACTGTGGTAGTCAGCCTCGGTATAACAGTGGTAACGTATTACTTAATGTAATTTGTAGAATTTTCCTATTCGGAATATTCTATAAGTAATACGTTACCACTGGGCTGCTGCCCGCCCGTCCGTCCCCCGAGCACTTGCTCTCGCAGGAGACAAGAGTGAAGGGTGTCACATGGCAGCTAGGTGGCTACGCACGTGCTGCATGAGGTAATTGAGATCTCTGTGGTAGATTTCGCTATAGCAGCAGTTGTGGGAGACAACAGCCTCGGTATAACAGTGGTAACGTATTACTTATAGAATATTCCGAATAGGAAAATTCTACAACATTGGTTATATTTTGCCTATATGATTATTTTATACATTTTGAACTTTAAAAAGTCATCATTATGACCAATTCTGAAATATATTACCTTGAAATTTGGTCAGTTTGGTCGTCATGACAAGTTGTCCCAGAATGCTTTGATAAGAAAAACTCCCGTCTCGTGACATCTTAAGAAGGTGAGCTTCAGTGCGATTATGTAAAATACTTTCAGATATCGATAGCTGGTTGATGGTAGTTTGTGATGTTTGTATTCCACCTATGTGTCATCAGTCTTTTCAGTCCTTCATGTTTCTGTGATCTTTGTTTCCAGATTGAGAAATGGCAGCAGGGAGACTTTGGCTATTGTCCGCGGGTATACTGTGAAAATCAGCCCATGCTTCCCATTGGTAAACACAATTGACAGTCCTATGGGGTTGGTTGGGCAGGGGGTAAAATGTTGGCTTGTCCTGAGTACCGGTGATGTTTACTGATATCAGTCCATGCTGTTTTCTCTGTGGACCACCAGTGTCTCGTGGACAAAGCATCTGCCTGGAGAGCGGAATTTCGGGGGATGGATCCATGTCCGTTTCAGACCAAAGGACATTGAGAGATGTACTTGTTGTTACCCTGCCTGGTGCTTGGCATTAAGGGGATAAAACAAAGACTGATCCTTCGGAGTGTATTGTGTCTGAGTAGGGTATCCATGTTTAATGGTATCTTAGGCTTAAAAAACTTAAAGAATTGGTTCTCAGGCAATGACTTTTGAAAATATATTGCGGGCGGGTGGTGTTTTTTTGTGTGTGTGTTTTTTGTTTTTTTTGTAGGGGGGGGTGTTGTTTTTATTGTTGGAACTAGTTGGTAACCAAAAACACAGTTGTGTGTGTACCATCAACCTGGGAATGGGCCTCCCTACATAAACAAGCATACAAACTCCTATTGCCGCCATGACCATAACACGAGATGTGCAGTAAAGCAGTGAAACTTAACTGCATGCTATATTGGATCGCATTTCTTTTAGTATAAGGATTTTTTTACATATTTTTATTTTTAATTGATATCAAAATGCAACATGCGGCAGACTTTATGGTGATGCGGGCGGTGCCTGAGAACCAAGACTATTAATTCTTTGCCTTATTGGGCTAACACTATAAAACCAGCTTTAGTCCTGACTAGTCCATGCAGCCACACCCACACATACTCACATACAATGCAATAATCTTGAATGCAGTGTTACACCCTGTTTCACCTCAATTCTAATTTCTTTTGATTCCCATATTATTCAGTGTGATATCTCCATTCTATTCATTGTTATGATACATACCCTGGACATATACGCCAAATGTACAGACACGCGCATTCCACACTACATCAAACAGCACCCATGCACACCACACCACAACACAACACACCACACAACACCACACCATACCACACGTGCACCACACACACCACACACACACACACCACATCACACCACACACATCACACCACACCACACACTCACCAACGTGCACCACACCACACCATACCACACGCACACCCACGTGCACCACACGCACACCCATGTGCACCACACCACACCATACCACACCCAGCCACACCACACGCACACCCACGTGCACCACACACACCACACGCACACCCATGTGCACCACACCACACCACACCACACCACACCCAGCCACACCACACCACACCCCACGTGCACCACACACACCACACACACCACACCACACCACACCACACCACACCACACCACACGCACACCACACGCACACCCACACCCACACCCACCCACGTGCACCACACACACCACACCACACTATACCACACCACACACACCACACCACACCACACCACACCACACCACACCACACCACACCACACCACACCACACGCACACCACACCACACGCACACCCACGTCCACCACACCACACCACACCACACCACACAAGCATCGTGATGCTGAATGGAATTCAAGACAGCATTGAGGTGTGAACTACTGGAGAATGGAGTCTGTTCAGTGCAATGGTGGTGCACACATTCCTCCGTGTCCTCCGTGCACTGCTTTGAGCTGGATCAGTCTTGTCCATGATTGTCTCAGTCAAGCAGCAGTGCCACATCAAGTGTCTGTGTGTTTGTGTTCCACTGACGGCAGTTTGAGCACAACATAAGGACTACAGATATCTTGCTTACATTTGGTATTGTCGTAAGGAGGTAGCTTTAAAAAACACCATTGGATTTAGGCCCAATGGAGATCTTGGGAACCAGGCCCCAAGCACTTGATGCTAGTTAGGATGCAAGTTAGGAATGTCTGTTGTTTCTATATTCCGAGTATTTAACTTTTTCTATGATGGGTATTTCCATAACAATGGTTCACACAGATATGGAACACTAAAATGCAGGGCTTTTCAAGTCTTTCAAGTGTCTTTTTCAAGGCTTTTTAAAACAATTCAATCCAGCGAACTATATTATATATTAGTCATAAGACCTAAAAAGCAATGTGACTATTAACATCACAAATTTTCAAACAAGATTGATTTTGCAACAACAAAAATACTAATTAAGCCTGTCATGAATTCTTCAAGTTTTTGGCAAAGTGTCAAATCTTTTACTGTGATAAATCACACTAAGACATCCTTGGTCACAACGTTTTGTTTTGTGTGTTTTAATACTTTAAGTAATAACTTGGCAATTTTTCAGCTGTTTTTGGTGATTTTCAAGGCTTTTCAAGGTTGACACTAAAAATCAAGAATTTTCTAGAGAGACATTAAGATTGAAGGCCTTTTCAAGCCCGTACCAACCTTGCTTTCCCAGGATCGCTTTTAGCTATATAAAACATGCACAAGTGCAACCTGTGATTGAAAAATACAACCTAATATTTACGTTTACATGCACTTGAAAAAAACAATTAAATTTGACTAACCCTTACTTGTCCACACAAAATCGGTCTTTGAACACACTCATTACATTTACCATGCTACATCACTAATCCATGTGTTACATGGAATTTCTTTGACATCATCAAGCTGTGGGTACTTCAAGATGATGTTCCTATTACATTTGACAGCAATGTGACACTGGCAACAGACCAGCCTATGTTACATCGTTGATACAATTATGGGGCCAAAGTGCAACCTGGTTTTGTCTGGTGCAACTGGTTTTGTCTGGTGCAACCTGGTTTTGTCTGGTGCAACTGGTTTCCATGTGAACATGCACCTGGAGCAAGTTAAATCAAGCCATGCTTTCCAAATGAAAAAAGAAGGGGGATCCTGTACATTCTACTGCACTAAATGCACTTACTTATTCTATACTGCTTTAAATTCACATGTGCATATAGAGAAATTACTCCCCATGATACATTTTCCATTGTAGGATAATTAATATAAACTGTCTATTTTAACCATGTTCATGTAAAGGAAAACATTGCAAGTTAGTTACATTTTGGTAAATCAGATATGTTCACATTTACATATTTCCCTTAATTAATGGCGTGAAGTGACATTCCACTGGCGTCTTACAGTGCTATGACATCAACCAATGCAGCCCTAGTTCGCCCTGATAATGTTTCTAGGTTTGTCACCATGCCTATAGCTTTCACGTCACTTCCGTCTTTCCTCCCACTTTAAGCTATCATATCATGATGTAAGTGAAAGCATCAATAAACTAAACTCACTCCCCCATGTCTAAGATCCATCTGTCATCTGTGTTGTCTCTGACAGTATTGTGTGGATGTTCCAGGTTTGTCAGATGTCCCCGGCGAGGCCATGGTGAAGCTGTACTGCCCCAAATGTCAAGACGTGTACACCCCTAAGTCCTCCCGCCACCACCACACCGACGGCGCCTACTTCGGCACCGGCTTCCCCCACATGCTCTTCATGGTGCACCCCGAGTACAGACCCAAGCGTCCAGCCAACCAGTTTGTTCCCAGGTTAGTGCCAATCAGGTCTCCTGCTTTTTACAAAAAATCAAATATGCACTGTCCCAGTTGTCTAATTTATTGTGCAGAGTTGTGTTCCCTTGGTGATCCAGAATCCTATGATAGGTTTTAATCTAGGATTACCCTGATTCAAAATGTTTGTCAGGATGGTACTGATGCTGAGGTTCACCCAAGTAGTTAAAATTAAAAATCTATACCACACTTTAACATCGAGCTGACAGTGATAGAACTGAAATACTGTTCGAGGTGGGGATGAACCAATATGATTCATGCTGTTGTTCCTCAATGCTAGACACACAGCCACTAATCAACTAGTTTAAAGACGAGTGAAAATTTGGAAGAACTACCAATACATTTTCTCCTCAAATCGGATTTCAATAGAGTGAAATGATTTGTTTAACTCTTCCTCTGATGATTATCCAACAATCAGGGCCGCCTTGCAAAAAGAGATCTTGCGCTATGGCTACCGTAAGCCTATGTTACAGTATGACAGTTATGATGCTGGTAGCTCTACGATCACAAGAGGACTCTGTCAGTGTTACTGTCCTTACAAGCAATTGGCAGGGGTATATAGTTCCACCAAGGAAGTCTGTTCGTCCGTCCTTCCAAGGACATTTGTTTGTGTGACCTATAACATGAAAACTACTTCATGGATTCTTTACCAATTGGAAGTACAGTTTCTATACCATTAGGAGAGGTGCAGTGCAAAGTTTGATTTCGATAAGTGGATTTTCTTAGAAAATATTGCTTTCTTCATGTTTAGAACTTAGAAATGTTAGATTGAAGTCCGGGGTATTGGTGAGGCCTGCTCACTTTTCTCCCTGTTTCAGACTGTACGGCTTCAAGATCCATCCCCTGGCCTACCAGCTCCAGTACCAAGCAGCATCCAACTTCAAGATGCCCATGCGGGGAGCTAGTCACACCAACAGCAAAAGATGAAACATAGCCACCATGTGCTAGACTGTAACTCGGACTGGACTAGATATTACCTCCTCCACTGACGACATTTCAACTTTCATCATCGAAAACGTGTACAGTGTACAAAAGACTGAAAAATCTAGATATGCGAGAAGATGTTTGAAGCAAAGATGATGACAAGAGACCACAGATTCTGTTGACATACTGTCTCCTATTCCTGGATTGTTCATCCGTCATTTCTAACATTTGTACTTTCGTTATGATGTATATAATGCTTAGGAATGTTCGCTTTGTAAGATTTGCATTGAGATTAGGTTGACAGGGAAACTGATAGTTGCTGTGTGTAGAAAGTAGGATCAGTCTTGGACATAATTTGACCATATGTGAAATTAAAACTATTTTTGAAATTATTTATTTTCCTGATCATAAACTTTTGAATTATTCATCTTTAGTTCTCGACTTGGTAAGTTTATTTAGGGTGAGATAGATTTTGCTGCAGACATCATTGTATTGGGATAATTGTTCTGCCAAAGATTTCGTGAAATTGACAACTGATGTGGTCAGTGATGATGAAATTAAGTACCCAAGGTTACCATGGTTACATGTTATTGTACAGTTGTGATGTCTTAGTTTGTGTGGCTGTCTGCAATTTTGTAAAGGACCGGAGTGGACCGTGGTGTTCAGTGATGGGCAGTTATACAGATGTGGCTTAATAATTAAAATATACTTTTAATAACATGGTACGGTCCCACATTGTGGTTGCTGATGGTCAAGAGAATTGTACCTGTGAAATGATGTCAAGGGGTCAGAAAAAAGGGCCAGGAGGGTCATTTCAATTATTTACCCCCAAATTTATTTACATTTAAATTCATTTTTGAATGGTTACATATTGGAGACAATTTATGTTTAAATACAGTTACCATTCTTGTGCACCTAAAGTATAAGACATGAAAGAATTTTATTCTCATTCATGACCAAAAGTTAGTAGCTCTGAAGCCTACTTTTGTCCACTGATATATAGTTACCAAAGATGCCTAGGAACCAATGTTCTGTTATTCTAGCCTCAATGCCTGGGAACCAATGTTTTGTTATTCTAGCCTCAATGCCTAGGAACCAATGTTTTGTTATTCTAGCCTCAAAATTCTTAGTTTCTCATTAAGATTACCCAGTTAATTAATTGCAATGCAGGGCTCAGTGTCACAAGTACAGCTTCATGTACGGGACGAGGACAGCGCCCACTTGTGTAAGCTACATTGCTGAACTTCAATGAGGCAGTATTATATGCAAACTGTAGCAGTGCACAATTGCTGAACACGTTCAGAGTGTTCAGATCTTGGATTGCCACAGTTCATTCCATCTTCAAAATGACCTCCAACTGTAGCCTTTGTACATGTGATCATCCTAGGAACGCCCCACATGAACGCAGTATGTTGACACCGTGTGAAGGTACAGTGTGTGAGAACATGAACATCAGCCTCGGTGAACACTCGTGCACGTCACGTGTATGTGAACATTTTCTGTACATGCTCACCTGTCATTACCATGTATATTCATGTGTTGTATGTAATAAATATTTATGTCCTGTAAGTCTTTATTGTTTGTATTACAAGTACGATGGAGTACCATGTTCTTGATACTCCAGGCGGTAAAGGACCCCAATAGCCATGGTAGTGGTGTGGGGATACCAGGTGGGATATATTTTGGGGTTTTCTTTTCTTGTTTAACACCATGTTCAGCAATATTCCAGGTATAAGACAGCGGTATTTAAATAATCAAATCTGGACCAAACAATTAAGTGATTGACATCACGAGCATCAATTCATGAATTGGGATGTGATGCCATGCATCAACCAAGTCAGCAACCCTGGCCACACAATCCCGTTAATTGCCTCTCTCAACAAGCATAGTCACCTCTTACAACAAGCATGGGTTGCTGAAGACCTAACCCGGATCTTCACAGGAGTGTCAGGTTTGAATTGGTCTGCAGCAAGCTATGTTTGTCATAAGAGGCAGTAAAAGGATCAGTAGTTGTTTGGAAACGATGGACATGCACTTTGGGTTCCAAGCCAGGTCCCCCATGAGCACATGCTTGGTGTTTAAATGTGACTGAGGATGTGGATTGTTGCTGATGGTGTCAACCATTTGTTTGTCTTCATCCGGAGATAACACCTCTTCTACACCACACATCCCCCACACCCTGTCTGGTGCAATTTAGACATGGGGTTTGGCTATTTATAAACCACTTTTGGTTCTTTGCCATTGGATACCTTCCGTTCACTGAAAAAATAATAATGCTGTTCAGTATTTTTCAATATCCCAAATCATCAAAAGGCACCAGGGTGTCGTGTACAAAGCAATCTTACCGCTATGGTGATCGTAACTCCCATACCTTAACATAGACTTTTGACAGTCGTAGTGCCATGGTTGTTTTGTACAACAGCACCCTGTTCACCACTATACTGATCTGTCTAGTAGTTTCATCCAGAAATATTCAGCAGGTTCTGGAGTTTTCTCAGGGAAAAGCACTACCCTCTTTTTCAGTTAACTACCACTTGTCATGAAAACAAAAAGCATGAAATAAATAAAACTCCCAAATCATCAAAAAGCACCCTCATCACTAGACTGATCTGTATAGCAAGTTTCAACAAGAAATATTCACGGGTTTAAGAGTTCTGCTCCGAAAACGGAAAACAAACGGATGGACAACCCGGGGGATAACAATGTTTAGATGTAGTCATCAACATAAAATCTGCAACACAGCGTTGTAAAGAGCTTGGAATAGAAAACCTTCCTCAGAATACTTTCCATTGGCTAGAAATTCATCTATCCTTCTAGCCCCAATATAATTGCAATGTTAGACACTAACACTTGGTGAACAAGAAAACAGCGTTTTCTTCTATATCCACCCACCATGGGGCACATGACAATTTTAATTGTTCATATAGTAGTGATACAGCTGGAATATTGCTGAGTGCGGTGTTCAACAACAAACACACACAGGGAGAGTGGCTTCCCATTGACTACACACTGATATAAGATCACAGAGCAGGTCATCGATACTTAATTTGAGCTGAGAATGCGTGGATTTCTCCATATGAATCACGCTTTGATTATATGAGTAGACTGCATTTAAAGGACTGTGCTGCACAAGCATTTCATGCAAAACATTGTACAGGCATAATCTAGGATTCAAAACTGAGTACGCTTGGCAGGAAAATTGGTGAAAACAAGAAAAAATAACATATGGCACCAATTCTCAATCTCTGGGTAGGTAGCTCTTTGATAAGCTAACTTCAGTAGTTTGTGAAGTCCCCAGACATTATGCACCTTGTAAAGGAACATGGATCAAGGGCCATAACTGTGTACGCTCAAACTCTAAAAACATCAAGCTCCTCCCTTATAGCCCGCCATGAACAAAACAGGCTGCACATGGATTTCTGATTGAGAGAATAAATCCCTTTTACCCTGCTTCAAAGCAAAAGGCTGCACACTTATGCCAAGTCAATGAAAGTTACATGACATAGCAAAATATAACCTAAGCTCAATTGAACAGCTGTTTTTCTATCAATTTTGAATTTGTTTGAATTCATTTACAATGGCAGATAACATGTCGGTAAGATAAATTTGTTATAGCAGTATCACAAGGGGTACATGTGGTTTTATGCGTCCCTCAAAGTTTTATACCACTCACATCCTAGCTCATGGTACACACGGGCCACATAAAACCACATGTACCCCTCGTGATACTGCTGAAAACTAATACGATGGCTACCATGTTGAAAATCAGATTCATACGGCTTGAGCAAATTCAGGTGTCATCACTGATGGCAATTAACATGAGTGAAGTTCCAGTTTCATTGGTCCAGAGATGTCTACAGAAGACGAACCAGTCGACGGCATGGGCAACAATCCACACCATTGGGGTACAATGACGAAACGAACCAGGTCACACGCTGTGACCGACTAAGCCTCACTTTAGTTGCCTCCTTGTTTTTAACACGTGAAAATCCAGGTTAGAAAATGCTTGCTGTTAGAGACGGGATCAGGTGGGCATGCTCACTGACTTGATTGATGTCGTCGTATCCCAATTGCGTAGATCAATGCTCATGATATCAATCACTGGATTGTCTGTTCCAGACTCGATTATTTACAGACCACTGTCATATAGCTGGAATATTGCTGAGTTCAACATTAAAGAACAAACAAACCTTGTCATACGAGTAAGTGAATGTTATTTAACACCGCGGTCGGCAATATTCCAGCTGTACTACAGTGGCCTCAAAATAATTCAGTGTGGACCAGACAAACTAATTACAGAGAACATTTGCAATTACCCGTGCAATCGGGCTTTTATTTGAAAAGCTTGGGACATTGAGGAGCATTCTTCCAGAGACACCACTGTTAAATAGTTTGCGGAATCAATGGTGGTTCAAGAATGGCTTCATGTTAGGGAGACTTTTCATGTCTCAATAGTTAGGTGAGTTTTCCTCATATTCCACTAACAGTTAGATCCTTACATTCACCAAAGACATTCACACTTAGATCCTTGGTTATAGCATTTACAGAGTCATGTTTAGTTCCCAGTTACTTCATATACAGGATCAATCTCACTAAAATCAAACCTAAGTTCTCACTGCCGCTAAACAAAGATCTGAGATCATCCCATTATGGGTCACGTCACAAAGACCTTTAGCGAACTTTGGCCGACCACTGAAACAACTAACAAGAAGTCAATAGCTAATTTAGAAAGCAGCTTTCTCAAGCTTTACGGCACTCGTTTCAACCTGTTGACTTCCATTTCAGACTACACTTGAAAAATATGTTGACACAGTTCTTGTTTAAAATTTTGAAAACTGAACAAACAAACATTCCGGAATGTCAAATATATGGTTGCGAATGTAGGGCAGTGCTTCCCAAGTACTGTGCAACGCTTCCTCCGTTCAAATGTTTATCCCACGAAAGCGAGAGATAATTTTGATGGAATCAGTCTTACGGGCCGCAACTGTCGTTCGGAATACCCTGTGTTAACGTTTTCGAGGTTGCATGATTAGAAAACACATTCTGACTGTCACTTTCATGATCTGGTAAGCGACGCTTTGATTGGTGGGATGAAAGGTCATCTGACATGACCCGTAATGGGATGTCCTCAGATCTTAGTTTAGGGATAGCGAAAACTGAGATCTGATTTTGATGAGATTGAACCATGCTGTACTTCAGATCATTCCTCTCAGCAACAAATGGGTCTCACAATGTTGCCAAATCAAGTACTCAGTTCCATGAAATCATTGACAATCTGTTTGACTCTTGCCGGCGATGATAACAAACTACAAACTGTGAAGGAAGGGGAATAGAATGACCATTTTTAATATCAAATAATAAACCAATGGAACAAAAATGGAAGTTGACAAAATTGCTTCTAAAAAGTTGTCAAATAGACATGCTTCATAAATTTACATCCATTCCCTGGGTAAATAAGATGGGGAATGAGCTCGAAATGCTACATAATTTGCATCCGCCATGATGAGATTTTTTCCCTAAATTCAGACAAATTTGAAATTTTAAAAACTGGTGTACAGACATGGTCAAAATAGAAAAATCAAAACCTATATAATCCAGTTCATAAATCTTTTTCAGTTGACCACATCACATGAATCTCATCCTTCCATCTTCAGCAACCTCTATTGCGTTACTATGGTCACTGACATTATTACTGTGGTAGTCCACAATGTGATTGTAACAATGACTTCTGTGATGAGTTTGGGAGAGAAAGTTTATCCTGTGCGAAGAATAATATGTACGCCAGAGTCTGTCCAGATTGGTTCACTGAGCTCGCCGACGTCCAGGGCAAAGGTGGCCTCCTCGAAGGGCTTCTGCATCTGCCCTGGCCCGAAGGATCCAAGGTCGCCTTCCCGGTTTGCAGAGCTGCAGTCACTGTGCTGTTTAGCTAGGTCACCAAACTCTACCTGGCCGGATGTTATCTGTTGCCGATAACCTGAAATATAAACACAGAATTTCAGTGCACCCCGAATGAACTCCTCCCCACCTTGCATCAGCCTTCCTACAATGATTCCCCCCCAAGCAAATCGCTGAATCCCTCCTCACCCAGAAGTAACTGCAATGCCTCATCTTTGGTGCGAGTTATCTCCTCTTTCTTCCAGTTCATCGGCCTGCGAGATTCGCAGTGTTTCACCAGCAGGTGTGATGCTCGCACAGTTTGGGCACTCATCTTCTTGGCGGGCTCGGATGGTGGGTCCCACTGACTTTCCTTGGTGTAGAGGTTCAGATAGTAGTCTTTACCTGGGAACACGGAACACAGAACACTGTTGTTGATTTGTTTGTTGTTCAACCCAACAATAAGCAGTATGAAAAAGGACTGTTAATAATCCAGTGATTGATATAAGCAATGATCCAGCATACAATGACATGTTATGAACCAAGTCACCAAACCACCCGATTCATTGTGACACCTCCTACAACCAGCATCGGTTGCTGGGGACAAATTTCAACAAGGTTTGGTTGGTTGGTTGGTTGGTTTTTACGCCGCACTCAGCAATATTCCAGCTATATGAGGGCGGTCTGTGAATAATCGAGTCTGGACCAGACAATCCAGTGATTCACATCATGAGCATCGATCCACGCAAGTGTGATCGATGACATGCATCAATCAAGTCAGCAAGCCTGACCACCCGATCCCGTTAGTCGCCTCTTTCGACAAGCATAATGCTCATGATGCTAATCACGGGATTGTCTGGTCCAGACTCGATTATTTACAGACCGCCATCATATAGCTGGAATATTGCTGAGCATGGTGTTATATAACAAACAAACAAACAACAAAATAAACACAATGAATCAGCTGGCTATGCCAAATTGACTTGGTTGACATTCATTTTGTTGTACTGTCATTGTCTAAGACTCAAAATATCAATCAGTAGTTTGTCTGGTCCTGACTCAATTATGTATACCTCAAACATATCTCATAACTCTAGGTATATAACAACAAGCCAATTTTCACTATTTCAGTTTAGAAACATATCCAAGTATTAGCAATAGGTGAAGCTGTTTTAATAATCCTTTTACCATGGCATACATGGCTAACATCTAGATTTACTTTGAACGGTTCATCAACTTTTTCGAGGAACCATTCAAACCTCAAAACAAACAAATCCCCATAAAACATGTGCGCGGCAAAACCACTTATTATAAAGACCATTTCCGCATTCAAGAAATGAGCATTGACCATTTTGAAAATATTATATGCTATTCCTCAATATATGCTGATCTTGTTACTGACAAGTCGTTTTGGGGGTAATAATAATGTTTTTGATCTCTGGGTACCCCTGATATTATTACTATTATTATTATTACTATTATTATTATTTCTATTATTAATTCATAACAATACTGAAACTGCCAAACATTATTAATATTAAATTATAATGAATACCATAACTTCGAATAAGCTGACCGCATAGAAATAAACAGCAAATAAATAAAGACGAATGGTGTTTTGATTCGAACAAAAGAAACACACACATTTAGCTTCTTAACAGCATTCAAGAACTGGCAGAAGTCAATCATGATATCATCAATAAGTCTATGAAGTAAGATGAAGATGAGGTGAAGTAAGATGAAGATGAGGTGAATCAATTAAATTTAAAAATGTGTTATGTCGGCAAACGAACGAAATCGATCTGCTATACTGTAGACCGTTTAACATATCATTAGCGGGCTTTTCTAAACCCTGTCAAATTATGTGAAAGATAAAAACTCGTGATACACAATTTCATTAAAATAAAATATGTGAATAAATTAGTGTAAATATGACCCATGTCTGCCAATGTATAAAGAATATAACAATTGCATGAAATGGATGAAGATGGTGATTGTTTCAGAACATACCGCTAGACCGGCTAGTTCTCTTTTCCCAACCCTCTGGAATATCACCCATGCCGTTTCGAAACAGGAAGTGTTGGGTTACTATAAATGCAGAATCTATTCCGAAAGCGGATCGAAGTTAATTTTGAAATTAATGTTAATACATTCAGCAAACAACATTATAAGTCACGATTCACGTTTTGTAATAAGTAAATAATATGTTGTTACTGTTTGGCACACATATATATAGACGTGTATGTTTCTAAATTAGGTTTAGATTTATTTGTGTTACAAATACATTTTTCGTGAGTTTCAATAATGAGCATATTTAAAGTCTTCGTTTCCGAGCATCTGTAAAGAAAATATAAAGGATAAAATAACATGCCAAGATTATAATAATAATATAGCGATCAAATTCTCGTTTAAGCATATTTAATTCTGACAAGAACCATATATAATATTAAACTCCTTTCATGGTTTTTGATCCAACTTATGAAAAAACATATTGAGACGAAATTCTGGTTATTGTTGGCCCGAAGGATGATGATGATGATGATGCCAAAGACGACGATGATGATGACAACAACATTGCTGTCCTAAGGCCTCGATTCCAGCAATATCACGGCGGGGAAAATGGGTTTCAAACATTGTACCCATGTCGGGAATCGAACCAGGGTCTACCGCGTGACGAGCGAACGCTTTAACCACTTGGCTACCCGACCCTGAACGCGATGTTAACCCAATTCCACCTCACCTCACCTCACCTCAGCTCACCTCACCGTCGCCCCCAGTGTTTTCAAAATTCTATGCCCAAGACCTTTAAGTGGGTATCTGGGCCAATATGAAATTTAGCTTGTATTTGCCGAGTAGGGCCATCGCGTCATCGCCCTAAAATATACATAACAGCCGATGTTTATTACATACAGAAGCTAACACACGTGACTTCGGGTATCAAATATACCAACACCAGTTGATAAAAGTTTTAAACTATTCAAGGAGTTTAATGATAATTCTATTCATTTTAGCTATAAAAAATCTTAACCAGCTTCAGTGGTCGTGAGATTAGTGAATTCTTTTGATTGTTACGTCATAGTAACATCACAATTGTCTGCCAAACACTGACGCATTTTCATCACAGGTAAATAGGAGATATCGTTTATTATAGCTAAAATGGATTGAATTATCATTAAACCGCCCGCATGTTATCAAAAATGAGCGGGCCACTGTAACTTGATAATGCCCTCATATTGCATGACGACGGGCCATTATCACTCCCGTTGTTAGGTGACGTCATAGGATTGGGATAGGTGACGATAGGTGGGTCAGTGACATTCGTGTTGATTGCAGTAAATGTTTCAAAATCGATATTGTAAAAAGAAAGAACAATATCGGTTTTGAAACATTTACTGCAATCGACACAAATGTCACTGACCAACTTTTACAAATATGGAAACGTCATAGAACAAACCCGATGACGTCACTATTGAACGTGATATGTAATATAAATTATATACAATATAATATATATAATATGTAATAAAGAGAGGTAACTAACGAGATCGGGTGGTCAGACTCTCCGACTTAGCTGATACATGTCATCGTTTCCCAATTGTGTAGATCGATGCTCATGATCACTGATTATATATTGTTATATATTATATATAGTGATTCTGGATTTGAATACGTCTTCAGCAACCCATGCGGGAAACGGGATAGGGTGGTCAGACTCGCTGACTTGGTTGATGCATGTCATCGTATCCCAATTGCGTGGGTCGATGCTCATGATGTCAATCACTGGATTGTCTTGTCCAGACACGATTTTTTACAGTCAACTACAATCCAACAAACTCAAACGTCGTGGTAACATTTTTTTATGATAAATAAGTGTTCAGCATATAATTCACTAGTGCCACATTTAATGTGCATTAAGTTTGTGATATTCTTATTTATTTGTATAATGTCTTATTAATAAGCTGAATACCCGTGAGGATTCGAGTTAAAATAGGTCTTTAGCCACTCATGCTTGTTGTAAGAGGTTTGTTGTAAGTCAGCGAGCCTGACCACCCGATCCCGTTAGTCGCTTTTTACGACAAGCATAGTCGCCTTCTACGGCATGGGTGAAAGTGATTGAATGTTTGGATACCAGACCACTAGAGCACACCAGTAACCAAAGTAACACATGCTTGGTGTGGGGATTCTGGATTTGAATTCGTCTTCAGCAACCCATGCGGGAAACGGGATCGGGTGGTCAGACTCGCTGACTTGGTTAATGCATGTCATCGTATCCAAATTGCGTGGGTCGATGCTCATGATGTCAATCACTGGATTGTCTTGTCCAGACACGATTTTTTACAGTCCGCCGTCATGTATTTCTTTTCTTTTTTTCTTCTTTTTTTTTTATTGTTCCTGGTAAAAGTACATCATGTTTTGATAAGAGTCAAAATACATGACCAGGGTTTTTTAAGAAAGTACATATCATTCACACACATCCATACACACATTCATACTCACGAGAAGCTTTAGTATTTATGAAGACAGAATGCAGGATATATATTTAGTAAAGTTTTGGAATAGCAAATGTTTATATTATCAAAAGGTTTTCATAAGGAGCCAATTTCGTATATAATTCAGTCTGTTTGGCTTTACTAAAGTGTCTATATTTTTCTATTTGGTAATAATATTTAACCTCATTTTGGAAATGTGTAATGGTTGGTTGGTTATTTTCATTTTGCATCTATAAATGTGAAATTTGGCCAATAAGAGGTTCAGATAAAAAATATCATCGGTGTGGAAATGTTTTGAAAAGCCAAAAAGAATTAGGTCTGAAGCAAGATTTATCTTGCCAGTATGTGGACACTTAGACCGCCGTCATGTAGCTGGAATATTGCTGAGTGCGGCGTTAAACAACAAACCAAACCAAAACCAAACCTTCAATAGTCACTGAAGCTTACGTAAACTCTCTTGCAAGTAGAGTATGTGTGACGAAAAGTTTTATACAAATGCTGGAACACAAAGGTCTTCATATGAATTCGTGATTATATATTGCTTGTGATATATTGCCTTATCTATTATCAATATAGTTTGAGATTAGCGATGAATTTAAAGACGAGGCATGCGCGTTATAATGATTCCATGTGCCTACGGCGTTTTGACGTAATATACTGTGTGGTTGAGGTGGTATATAGTGACGTAACAGTGTATGATTACATCACAGGCTATCGATCATATTACGCAATCTGACACGAGTGTCAATACATACTTCTGCTATGCCGCTTACCTCCTACGATACCGCTAAATGTAAAGGATGTATAATTGAAAGTAACATCTAAAGGTATGTAAATTATATCGATATTACTCTGGATAAACGAACATTATGTGTGGATTTGGGGATAGAACCTGTGCTCGTCAGTAGAAGCGACTAAACCGATCAGGTGGTCAGGCTCGGTGGCCTAGATGGCGTGATCCGTGTATCCCCGATGGTGTGGATTGTTGCTCACGATATCAGTCACTGGTTTGTCTGGTCCAAGCGCCGTGATATAACAGGAATACTACTTGGTGAGGCGTTAGACAACTTATATACGCACGCACGCACGCACGCACGCACGCACTCCACAGAAACTTTTCCGTGAAGATCCGGGTAAGGTGAGGTCCTCAGCAAACCATGCTTGCCGTAAAAGGCGACTCGTGAGAGGCAAGTAACAGGATCCGGTGGTCAGGCTCGCTGGTTTGGATGATGCAAGTCATCGTATCCAAATTGCGTAGATGGATGCTCATGATGGCAATCACTGGATTGTCAGTCCAGACTCGATTATTTACAACCCGCCGTCATATAGCTAGAATGTTGCCAAGTGCAGACATACACACACAAATGGAAAAAAAAGATGCTTACGTCATATAACCTGCATTTTCGACGGCATGTTTAGTGACGTCACAATAGTAATGACGTTATTATAAGGGTAACGCTATTTTTCAGCGCATTATCATTTGCAGGAGCCCGAGGTCTTCCATTAACTGTCCGACGAAGGAGGGCAGTTGAAAAGAGAAAGTAACAACAAGTACCATCTTTTAACGTGTTTTGGCATGAAAACCCCATTCTTCCGTTCTCCGGGCGGACGCTCTACCACTAAGCCAAGGAGGCTACACGGGGATTCCCTGACGAATACGAATCGAATCCCATATTCACTTTCATTATGATCCTTTATCTGTATGTGCACAGCATCATGCCGATAGGTCTCACCCAAGAGGTAATCATCTAGAACCTACGATTTCATCGTGCATACAGAGTTGCCTCCCTTATCCGTGCCAGGATAAGAATCCGACATTCACTCTCACTATGATCCTTTGTATCTGTATGTATACAGCACCAGACCGGCAGGTTTCACCAACGTGGTAATTATATACTATGTGCGGTTTTGAGATGACACAGCTCACCTTAACTTGTTTATGTCCTACTTCGGTTGACCCAAACTGCCTATTCCTGCTGTACTCCACGGGGAGTCTCCTCAGCAGCCTCCTAGTGACGTCATTGTTAAGGCTAAACAGTTTTATTTATTGATTCAATCATGAACAAGGATGTTTATGAAATATAATTAACGCGTTATTGATAGTATTATATGTATTCTGATATGCATCAGGGGAATGTAACTTTTGATTGTTGATATAAATACTTTAGATTTTACACTTTGATAATTGGATCTCTGTTTGAAGCTATAGTCGTTATTTTGAGCTTAATTATGTGTTTTTACATTGCATTGAATAGGAAAGGTACAGTTTTCAGTCTGTCAAGCAATACACATTTGTTTGTTTGTTGTTTAACGCCACACTCAGCAATATTCCAGCCATATGACGGCGGTCTGTAAATAATCGAGTCTGAACCAGACAATCCAGTGATTGACATCATGAGTATAGTTCCACAAAATTGGGATACGATAACATGCATTAGCCAAGCCTTTTATGACAAGCAAGGGTTGCTGAAGACCTATTCTATCCCGGATGTTCACGGGTAACACCTCATGGTGGTGTGTTACAGCAGTATCGTTGTTTCTCCTGGCAGCCATTTTGTATATCTAAAGTTTTATTTCGGGTACTACTCTAATTTAAGTTATCCTTCATTAGCACTGGTTGCCAGAAATGTGGTAGCCTCAGTATACTTATTTGACTTAAATTTTATAAACCAAACGCAAGCACTGTACAATGCGGCGACAAGTTCTCTAATCGGTGATTGTCAAAAAAAAAACAATCCATGTAATGTTCTGTTAAAGTTACAATCAACCTATTCTTAAACAGAAGTTAAAATTTATTGAGTGAGTGTGGTTTTACGCCGCCTTTAGCAATATTCCAGCAATATCACGTCGGGGGACACCAGAAATGGGCTTAACAGATTGTACGCATGTGCGGAATCGAACCCGGGCCTTCGGCGTGATGAGCGAACGCTTTAACCACTAGGCTACTTCACCGCCCCAGTAAACATGTAGATATTCAGCTATCTTCCTGACTATATCTTTTCTTTCAGCGCCGACCAGTAGTTGGTGTTATTATAGAATAACACCATACGAGGAACGTAAATCATTTGAGATTATTGCAGATGTTATTTGAAACCTTTAACAAGAAAAAGTAAATTATTTACGGAGTATTTGTTTCTACCCAACAAAAGTACTTGATCTCAATTCACGCCACACACCTTTAACGTGGCCCGACCAGGTAAATCAGTATAATTATGTCTGGGCCACGCTGTCATTAACAGCGGCCCTGGTCGAGTGTTATGTATACTGTTAGTGTCGAGTTAGGAGCACCAGGTTTGCTTGACTCAACAAGCGTGAATCATGCTCGCGAGACTTCCAAAATTGATTTTGTCTCACATTTCCCTCCTTTAGTTTTGACATCCCCTTTGCCAGATGTCAATCACGTATATCACAGCTGCTGTCAGCGTTTATTCACATAACGTCTGGGTTGCCTTATTTGTTATTTTCTCATGGGCTGCTTGATGTTATATTGGAAACTGTCGTTCAAATATATGGAAACGCATTTTCGCTATAGTTGTGATAGATGAACCTGATAGATATATATATGGAATGTATAAAATGATGGAACAACTACTAGAAGTACATGTGGAGTATAAAAAGATGTGTATTTTTTGGAAGATTTTTTTTCAATCCATACCGCATGGCGGCACAGAACACTGTTTTATTGATGTGAATGACTTAAACACGGGCAAATCGAACAAAAGCGTTGCGTAAGCCTATCTGAATGGATTCCCTCTTTTTATAGCCTAACTTCAGTGAGACTTTTTTTCGGTTTTCCTGGAAGAATATTGACCTCGAATGCCTGCACCCCAACACGTTTGTTCTGTCGGTATTAGATTTAATGACAACCCTTTTTTTTATATTTATTGGAGGTAATACTATTCAAATAAAGACTTTTTTTAACGTGACTGTCGATACAACCGCAAAGAAAAAGAGATTATTCATGACGGGGTCAAGCCTGCTTGAAACATCACGGAAAGCATGAAAAGTAACTGAGAGCACATTCGAGATCACAGGAAGCATGACACTTCACAGAGGGCATGCCACTTCACAGAAAGCAGGAAACGTCACAGAAAGCAGGACACTTCATAGAAAGCAGGACACTTCACAGAAAGCATGACACGTCACAGAAAAGCAGAACACTTCACAGAAAGCAGGACACTTCACAGAAAGCAAGACACTTCACAGAGGGCATGACACTTCACAGAAAGCAGCAAACGTCACAGAAAGCAGAACACTTCACAGAAAGCATGACACTTCACAGAAAGCATGACACATCACAGAAAGCAGAACACTTCACAGAAAGCAGGACACTTCACAGAAAGCAGGACACGTCACAGAAAGCATGAACCAACAAGTAAAACATGGAACTAAACAGAAAGCATTAAACGTCACAGAAAGCGGGACACTTCACAGAAAGCATGACACTTCACAGAAAGCGTGACACTTCACAGAAAGCATGACACTTCACAGAAAGCAGAGCACGTCACGGAAAGCAAGACACTTCACAGAAGGCAGGACACTCAACAGAAAGCATGACACTTCACAGAAAGCAGGACACGTCACGGAAAGCAAGACACGTCACAGAAAGCAGGACACGTCACAGAAAGCATGAAACTAAACAGAGAGGACACGTCACAGAAAGCAGGACACGTCACAGAAAGCAGGACACTTCACAGAAAGCATGAAACAACAAGTAAAGCATGAAACTAAACAGAAAGCAGGACACGTCACAGAAAGCAGGACACGTCACAGAAAGCACGACACGTCACAGAAAGCATGAAACAACAAGTAAAGCATGAAACTAAACAGAAAGCAGGACACGTCACAGAAAGCAGGACACGTCACAGAAAGCAGGACACGTCACAGTAAGCAGGACACGTCACAGAAAGCAGGACACGTCACAGAAAGCAGGACACGTCACAGAAAGCATGAAACAACAAGTAAAGCATGAAACTAAACAGAAAGAATGGCACTTCACAGAAAGCAGGACACTTCACAGAAAGCAGGACACTTCATAGTAAGCAGGACACTTCACAGAAAGCAGGATACTTCACAGAAAGCAGGACACCTCACAGAAAGCAGGATACTTCATAGAAAGCAGGACACCTCACGACACTTCAAGCATGTCGTCGCGTAACTTTTGACCACCAGTGTATCTACATGAGACGCACAGCTCCTGAACATGCATGCAGTAACTATAACATCCGAAACCCATCTTCCACTCAGTTTATGGCAGTTCTGAACATGCACCACTGCGCAGATTCGTTCTTGCTGGCCTGGTCTGAAATCAACCGTGACACTTAATGAATGTTCCCAAAAGTTGTATTACTTTAGTAGAAGGCGTGACCCGAAACATAGCGATGAAGCCCTGCGCATGACTTCGCACAAATAAAGGTACAATGAGAGTTGTCGACCTTTATACATAACACTCATATGTGGTTCTGTGGGGCAGTTTATAGCGCAGACAATATGTATATAAATATACATAGAGCTTTTATCCGGGAATACAAATATGTACATAGTTTTATGATATATCGGGCAGAAAAGTTTCGAAATAAATAATGATAAAATAGTATTGACTTTTCCATTTGTAGGTGATGTAGGCATATGTATTACACAGTTCGTTTTTATCTACAAATACAAATGCATTGCTATTTTTCGGATAATCCCGTCGGTTGGTGTGAAGGTTAGGGAGGAAAAGTTGGGTTTACGATAAGTGTGTGTTTTATAATTAAATAGATTACATTCGTTTCGTGCATGTATATTGTGTGTTATCATTAGCAAACAAGGAAAACATGCTGAAATTGGTGCGTCATGGTTTCAAGTTCCTCGATTATTGGTGGTGATTATGGTGTCAATATTAACAGCACTGGTTAGAAGTTACTAATAATGATGATGGTGATTATATAAGTAATAACAAGAAAACAGCGTTAACACTATCCCCCGCCATGGGGCACTTTACTTCTACTACTACTACTACTACTACTACCCTCATGTGCACCCGCATAACGCACCCCCTTCAAAACTATGGACCTGCCTCTGTATTACTACTATTATTAGTATATTGAATTATTTTAATTTAATATGATAATATTACTACTACTTTATTTTTGCTGCTACTGACCCGTGAAGATCCGGGGTAGAATAGATCTTCAGCAACCCATGCTTGCCATAAAAGGCGACCATGCTTGTCGTAAGAGGCAACTAACGGGATCGGGTTGTCAGGCTCGCTGACTTGGTTGATGCATGTCATCGATTCCAATTGCGTGGATCGATGCTCATGATATCAATCACTTGATTGTCTGGTCCAGACTCGATTATTTACAGACCGCCGTCATATGGCTGGAATATTGTTGAGTGCGGCGTTAAACAAAAAAACCAAAAAGCTACTACTACTACTACTGATGTTACTACTGCTACTGGTGTTACTACTACTAAGTACTGATGTTACTTCTACAATTAATACTACCGCTGTTACTGCTACTGTGTACTGCTGTTAATTATGCTAAGTAATGTTATTTTTACTACCAGTAGTGCCACTATTCCTCTTGTCACTACTTAGTAGTTTTGAGTACTGTTGTTACTTAAAAAATGCAGTACCAGAGTAAACATAAGTCCAGGAGTAACTGAAATACAACGTTCTTTTCCCGTGAATAAAATTGTCCTTGTTTGACATATGTTTTACTTATCCCCACACATGATCGATATAACCCGTTGACAGATGAGCGATCGGTCTTGTGATCAAACGCAAGGTGTTAAAGAGTGATATCATTTATTGTTTTAAGTCAGACAGGCATCAACAAGTGCTTGTCAAAAATGGAAATTCTATACCATCCAGATGGAAACTATTTTCCTATAACATATTGCACGCGTTAGATGAATAGTCGTTTTCAGTCGTTGTCAAATGCTTTCAATTTGATCGTCCAACGAACAACTGATTTGATCTTCCGAAATGTAGACTGAACTGATAACATGTTCATGTTGTTAGAATCAGCTTTTAACAAACATATAGTTTAACACAGACATCACAGTTACTCAAAGAAATTTAGTTAAGAGTCTAAGACCTTACACCATAGATCCAAGAGCTTTAAAACATTAAGTGATAAATCTTCAAATCCATTGATGGGTCATAATTGTATTTAATAATCTATGTTAGATCAATGTTAATCTACTTGAATATATTAACATGAATATATTCTATTGTTTGTTTGATGCAACCAAAATACCGATTTGCCTATAATTTCCGAATGTGTTTTCCCGTAGTCATAACACTGCGAATAACATAAAATGATCTTATTTGTTGCTTTGTAGACTTTTTGTAGGACGTGTTTTTTTTAAAACCTTAACGCGAGTCGGGTAATGCCATTCTTGTTCATAAAAAAAATGTTTGCCAATGTAATGTACATGTTGATACGCATTTTATGAATTTGATTTATGTACATTAATAGGATTAGATAATTACCCGGAACAAGATGAGAAATAGGTTACTATTTCCACATTGTCAGAAGTCGGACGCACCTGTTTGCTTGGCGATGATTAGTTGTTACGGTAGTAGTACAATGCTGAAGAAAATAGACATGGCCGCCGCAAAGAGGGCGGAGTGATGTGCCGTGTCAGAAACTTTCTCTCGGAATATGGCAGCTGGAGCGTGATACATTCTTTTCTGTACATCAAGGAACCCCACACAATTATTTAAAGGTATGATCCTGATTGATAATATGTTCATGTTGTATTGGACAGCCTAGATATGATCCTCTGAAAAATAATAATATGTGGGTCTGATTTTGTCGTCTGCAGTGTTGAATCTTGTCATGGAATTTGCATTGCTCCACATTGAGAGTTTTTACTAACGACTGGTAATCATTCATGACTCACTGTCTTTGCTGTTACGGCATGCTGTTACACTATGAACTAGACATATGGACATCCGGTTGAAGCTTTTGGTCCCAAATTACTTCATTTGAGGAATTCACAGGTTTCCCTAGCGTAAAATAAACATGAAAATGAGAAATGATTAGGTTCTAGCAGACATGTCAGCTGTATCAAGTCATTTAAGGACGTGTCATACTTCTATTCGAACTTTATTGTAAATTCTATAAAGTTCATTATGTTATCGACTGTTAATGAATGAAGATAATTCTTTTAGCCAGGTAGTCTATATTGGGCCTATATGTGTCACTTGAGTTTTTAATTCATCATAATAGACTTGATGTCAACAGAGAACATATATCGGTTTATGATGTCAGTGAAACATCTGTGTTAGTGATCTCATCAGTCATTTATCAATATGGGACACACCTTAAAACTCTTCGCCACCAATTCTGCATAATGATTTTACAAAACTGAGCTTTATCAAATACCTGCAATAATTAAGTGGCTCTCCAACAATATACATTCCCAATTCCTAAATATCAGAATAGACAAAATACATTCTACACACATCTATGTCTTTGCCTTTTCTTATGAAAGCTATCAATGACAAGTACATTCTTAATTATCCCCAATGGCTAAATAGATATTCACATTGCATGATACAGGCCATTAATGCATTTGCAGCTTGGTCCTTCAGCTACTGATTAGCTGTCATAAACTGATTAGGCAGTAAACAGGTTGATATAACATGGGTGATTAAACAAACCAGGAACTGTATTCAACATGAGCAAAGTCACCAGAAAATTCATAGTGAAATTTTATTCAATTTCTGATCAATTTCTTAACATGTTTAAACTTTTACTTCTTAGTAGGGGTGGCTACTTGTCTGGAAATCACTATTGCGATAACTATTGATACTGAAAGAAACTATCACGATTACAATCGATATTGCAAGCAACTATTGCGATAAATATTTATTGTTTTCAGTGTATAATTTTAGATAGATTTTAGAGTTGAATCAAACCTTGGAACTGAAGTTTCCTTTGAATGTGATAACCATAACAACAAATAAAAAGTAATGTTTGAGATATGACTGGTTTGTTTTTTCTTTACCCTAATAATTTAAGAAAAAGAAACTTCCACATTACCATGTGTAAATTACTACCACTCATGATCAAAAGAAAAACAAATTTGAACAGCATTCCATGTATTTTATTGATATTGTAAATACAATTGAAACTATCGATATTCCTAACTGAAATTGATACTATTGGTCTGAAACTGATTTAACAATCGATTTATTGACTTTAAGTGCTTACCGGTAGCAATATATTGATATTTCGATTTATCGTGACACCCTTACTTCTTAGTCATATATGGGTCAAGAAATGCTATTGTGATACAAGTGATCTTGAAATCTGTGAGCACATGGTTGGTCTGACAGTCCACAGAAAAAGTTATAAAGTTTGAGGTGGATATGAGGCATGTTTTTATAACTTTGTTCTATTGTATGTCATTATTTAAGTTGTTAGTCTTATGCAGAGTAAAGACTTAATTGTTTACAGACCGCAGTGATATAGCTTGAATATTGCTGACTGTGGCATAAATCAACAAACAAATCATGCAGAAAGTATGAATTATGAATGATAGTCCAGTGTTGGATCCAGTATTTGTTTTACATCAGTGAGTGAGTGTGTGTGTCACATTTTTTAATTGTATACATAACTTCTGCTTGTCAGCATAGGCAGTGTGTCAATAAATGATTTGCTAAATTCCCTCTAGTGGACTAATTCCTTCAATCCTTTGTTAATGCTAGTTACATATATCCTTTCCATGCTAGTGGACATTATTCCTTGTTACAAATCCTGAACACTGCTGAATGTTTTCAATGATTTTTTCCCTGTGACAGGTAAGGCACAAGCCTACCTTTGTTTGTCATGTGCTCAGTCACTATCTATCACGTTAACATTGTGCTGTCAACATGTCCTACGCAAATACAATACAGGGATGTATTCAGTGGTTGATATATAAATGTAGGTTATATTTGTATGGGACTTAAATGGTAATGTCAATACAATTTGATTTATTGGCAACTTAGTGAATTAGTGCAAGTTTACTAGTTCAGTGTCTTGCATGTGTTATATTATTGAACTTGAAAATGATTCATCAGTTTTGATCAGACGACACATGTTAATCTCATGAATCACATGTATCATGTAAAGTGTTTGAATTTTCCATGAAGTCAAGGAGTCCTTGTCCTTATGTTAAAAGTTGAAGATTTAGGTTGTTCCTGATTCAAATCCTACAGGAGCAAACATCAAAGACCTCAGGACAATCTTTAATTACCATCCCTGATGTGTTTGTTGTTTAACGCCGCACTCAGCAATATTCCAGCTATATGATGGCGGTCTGTAAATAATCGAGAGTGGACTAGACAATCAGTGACTTACTAAGCATCAATCCACGCAATTGGGATACGATGACACGCATCAACCAAATCAGTGTGTATGGACACAATGTTGGTGTTAGAGTTAATGAGTAAGTATGGTTTTATGCTGCTTTTAGCAATATTCCACGGTTGGGGAGACCAGAAATGGACTTCACACATTGTACCCATGTGAGGAATCGAACCTGGGTCTTTAGTGTGACGAGTGAACGCTAACCTCTACACTATCCCATCGCCCTGTTGGTGTATGCAACTTATAGTTTTTGCCCAAGAACAAAATTATGCATTATGCATGTTATGACTGAATAGAAATTTTGGGTTGAACATGTACATGGCTTTCTTGTAGATCCCTAGAATATATAGTCACCATTAAATCCCCAACCCCAAACAATTATGATTTTTATGAAAAGAGTACATCATGTACATGATGTACATGAGATAGGATAATGTTTGGGTGACACTGAATATCAGCTTATTGAACATGGTGTATGTTACTAGCAATACCCTGATAAGTATGCCCCAGGTGATCTGAATGAGCTATTGTAAGGTATGAAGTGAATGTTATTACCTTATAAAAAGTGTAACTATCACGGCTGAACAGACATACTGGAGAAACAATGTCGAGCACCTGGCAAAAGATCTGGCAATAGCAATTTGAGATTCCAGTGTCAGTTTAATATACTATATAACACAGTCTCTCATCTGAGACACAAGTTACTGTATTTATTCTAAAATGTGTCCACGCTGGGATCAAATCTCTCTGATTCCATACTAAATGCCCTTGTCAGGCAAATTGGGATTTTTTTTAAATTATTTTGTTCAAAATACAGTGATCCCTCGCTACAACGCTACCTTCAGTATTATTTTAACTATTATTATATTTTTGCAATCAATGCTATTGGTGCAATGATGTAGAAGTCTATATCGCAGTGCACTGTGTTTCTATTTATCGTTTCACCCTTAATAAATGCAATATTTTAAAACTAAGCATTAAAGCCTCTTCATTTATATTGGTCCTGTGAATCAGTGAAGTAAAAGTCACCTCTACAATGTCTACTAAGCCATAACAAAACTTCTCTAACAATACAAACATGAATTTGGAATTTTAGGAGATTTGGTTTTGGGCCAAATTTCCTCTTCTAGGTTGAGATCTAGATGAATTCCTGGCCTGTCAGATATGTATTTGTATTGCGTGCATACTGGTATTCCCTATTAATATGGTTTGACAAAGAAAGCCAGGAATAAACTTTAAGCACTGGTTATGAACTATGAAAACTTCTATTCTGTTTGTGATGATTGACATCATGAGCATCGATCTACACCCTATTGGGATACGATATCATGCATCAACCTAGTCCTTGAGTCTGACCACCCGATCCCTCTAACAGCAAGTATTGGTTGCTGAAGGCCAATTATAACTAAGATCTTCATGGTAGGGAAACTTCTAAAGGGTGCTTTAATGTCATGTTTATGTATAAGGAAGGCTTATGCATTCAGTGCGGTATATTTATGTACCTTGGCCAGGATCATGTTCCCTATTGCTTATATGCAATGTAATTATGATGACCTTTCTGCCAGTGGGTGAAAGTAAATAATACACGGTAGGTACTATTTCAGCTTGTATGTGTTATGTAGGTGTGTAGAGGCAATTCACGAAGCTTTTTGTCCTGGTCATGAGGCCAGAGGGTGTATCCTGGTCGCTAACAATATACAGGAGACATGAAAGCAAGGATGTATGTATTGTGGTGTATTGTGTGGGACGAGATTGAGAGCATGACGACATACAGTGTTGCTTGAAAAGGGTGAGAAAATAATGTAGAGGTTTTTACTCATAGTCTTTGTAGTTTACAGTTTATCATTTCAACAATCACTACTGGTCAGGTGTGAAATTGTTGTTCAGGTGAGTCAAGAGTGGTTTAATAGTTTCATGGTTAGAGAAGATATTTTGCTCTTGAACCTTTTTGAGAGGACAGCAGTTTTGAAATTTAAAATATTTAAATAAGATCATTGTCAGATTGTCACACGTTTTCCTAATCATTATGTCTTAAGTTAACAATAAATAACAAGTGAAAGATACTTCTGTTACTAACAAAGCTTTAAGCCATCTTTGCATCTCTTATCAATACTAAAACTAGACTTTTGCAAAGTAAAGTTTGAATATAATTAGCAATACTTCATCATCACCTGATGAAGAAGTAAGCATATACTCCGAAATGTTGTGTTCCTCATAATAAAGAAGTTGATAACCCTAAATTCTCTTATGTGTATCACTTCTAAATGCCTTTCAAAGACTTGATACTGGAAGGGTATCACAATTCACATAACATGACATACAACATGTACAAAATTCAAAAGTAACAGTATAAGTCTATTTCAAATTCATTATTCAGCCACAAAGGTAAGGACTTTATTGTTAACAATAAAAAGCAATGTTAACATCAGCAGTTTCTGAATTTCAATTAACACGTCATAGTTCTACTTAAACCGAATGTAAGAGCCAAGTTCAAGCTTGTAGCACAGGCCGATTAAACATAATTGTTTAGTCACATTATGAAATACCTTTGCAGATGTCGATTAATATTTTCGGATTTGGTTTAGCATTGGCTCAGGAAAAATTGAATTTGTCTAATCCTACTTCACATTTAAGGATATGTTGCCATTAA